CCTGGACTGGCAGGAATAAGGAAGTATAGTCACTCAGGTTCCTTCCCAGGACATCTGGTTGAGATTAGAGGACACAGGTGCTTGCTTGGGGTTGGTTTTGCTTGTCTAATAACAGAAAACATGGAAAAATGTGCCAATGTAGTTGTATCTATATTGCAACCCTGGGAGTTAGATTCCATCTTATCATAACCATTTTACAGATGAGGTTATTGAGGCGCAGAGAAATAAAGTGACTCACTTGAGGTCAATGGCTTATAAATGACAGGGCTTGTGACATTCAAGCCCAGGAAGTCCAACCCAGAGCCCTTGTTCTTCATTGCCATGCTATGTTGTTATTTGTTTACAAGAATGGCATGTGAGGAGGGAAATAGCAAACAGAATCCACCAAGAGAAGATTCTCAAAAATAGAAAAAGTCACAGTCAATGCGGTATTGAGCCACTTGCCTCTAGAAGTGAAATACACTATCCCAAGATGGAGGACAATCATGGAGAAATCCTGCTGGCCAGGTCAAGGCAGGACACACTGCCCAAGCCAAGATACAGTCATGTCCCACTTCTATCTCTGAACACAGTGACCTACACTGAGTATGTAGGACCACAGGTAGGAAAATGAAGGCTGAAAGAACACAATTTGTTCCTTGCTGGTTAGGGTCCCAACAATACACTTCCTTGAACTCACTATGTAGCCCAGGCTGACTTCAAACTCATGCAGTCATCCTGTCTCAGCCTCCCAAGTGCTGGGATTACAAGTGTGGGCCACCATGCCTGGCCAGCATAACACTTATAAGACTAGCTGCCAACTTAGTCAGTGTGCTGCTGTGAATGGACAATTAGGCCAGGCACACAAGGGCCCTGCAGCATGGGCCTGAAGTGTGCTGTTGATGAGGAAGTTATTGGGAAGTCTCAACAGAATAAGAACTACTAGGATGGTGAGGACTTGGGTTCCAGGGTCACAGGCTGGCCCACTTAACCCCTCCAAGCCTCAATTTCCTTATAGAAGATGGAGGAAACCACTGCATGTAGCATGTGGTGTCCAGGTTGAAGGAGATGCCATCTCTAAAAGATTAGCATAGGACAGATCCTGGTACAGGGTGAGGTTCAGTGCATAGTAAACCCTATTTTTATTAGTAGCAGCTCCACCTGATATGAATTATAAATAGCTCAAGGGATGAGCTATTTATAATTATAAATGGATGTAATTTATTTATAATTTGGATACCTTTGAAAGACATACTGAAGGAAAGAAGAGAGGCTCCGAGAAAGGATACCAAGGCAATCCAGGCCAAGTGGTCACATGAGCTAATGTGCAGGAACGTGTTGTTGGCCTAGGTGCCCTCAGTGGCGCGGCTGCCCTTTGACCATGAAAGTCTCACTGCGTACACTGATGTCCTCACATCGCATATTGACAGGGCTTCAGGGTACATCCTTGAGTGATGTCAGAGGGAGCCTAGGTACACAGAGCACACGTCCCTGAAGGGGCCATGGGTCTGCATGGTCCTGCAAGGAGTGACCCTCAGAGAAGGTAATCATGGGGCTGGGGAGATAGCTCAGTAGAATAAGTGCTTATCTGGCAAGCGCAAGGGTCTGAGTTCAATCCCCAGTTCTACACACACACACAAACACACACACACACACACACACACACACACACACACACAAAGGTAATCAAAGGCTGCTAAAGACTACAGAGAAGCAAGCAGAGGAATTGGGAAGAAAGCTCTGGCAGTGGAAGCAGTTGACATGGTTCCTGGAATAGACCCTGAGACTTCAGCAGAGTCATTTGGCATTATGATCCTTGTTTTATTTATCCTGCAAGCAGATAAAGTCATACTCGCTCTGTCTTCCTTCCTAACCTTGAGGGGAGGGTAAAATAGTGGAAGTGAAGGCGCCCAGGAATCTCTGTGGTGCAAGCCCATGGTGGGAGCTGGCAAGTGAGTGAGGCTTATTTTTCACCAGGGACATGAATGAGCGGGACATGAATGAGGCATATAGAGAGAAGGCTGAGTGCTTCAGGAATGCAAGAGGGGCTGTCGCTGGGTGGGGAGAGGGAAGCAAGAGTGACAGCAATACTTTGAAAGGCCATGGACCAATGGGGCCAGACTTGGAATCCTGGGCCCCTGGGCATGGTGAGAGGATGCCCGTGTCAAGTTGTGGGGGGAATGGGGTCTTCCTAGGACCACAGTAATCCAGGGCTTGGACTTTCAGAGACAGGAAGCTACAAGAGCTGCGATCGCTTGGAGAAGAAGCTGTTTTTTGTTTTTTTTAATTTATTTTATGTGTGTGTGTGTGTGTGTGTGGCCAGCTCAGCCCACCAGGGGGCGGAGCTGGCTGGCATGTGGTGCTGGGGGATTGAACCACGGTCCCTGTGCTTTGTTAAGGTTGTTCTAAGTAGGTGCTTTAGACCACTGAGCCATCTCACTAGCCCGAAGAACCTGTTTTGGATTTGACCTTGTAGAGATGTTTTCCAACCCTGTTGTTGTTGTTGTTGTTGTTGTTACTTTTTGAGCAGAGAGAACCGAGGTGACCCGTGAGGTCTGGCAGAAGTCTTCAGATCCTTGGCTCACCTTCATTACTTTAATGAGATGAGAAAGGAATCCCAGGAAAGAGATGTGATTATCTGAAGGTCACGTAGCAAGTTAGTTGCCAAGTTGCACCTGGAACTGAGGCTTTCTGGTTTCTAGACCTAGCTCTCATCCTTCCCAACCGTCTATGTGTGCAGGAAAGAAGGGACAGCTAAGCGTTTCGGGTGTGTTTCATAAGTGAGACGATCTCTTCACCTAACATCTCCCCCAGCTGCCTAGCCGTGCAATCACTCCCTCCTTTGCCCGCTCACTATAGGACTCCAAGCGTTTCACAGAGAAGTCACTTAGTTCACACCCCCTCGGCTTCTCATGGGAGGGTCTGCTGTACTTCTTTCTGATGCTGTATCCCATGACAAATATTCTTCATTAGATTAAGGCGACACCTGTCTTCTTGTAGCTTCCAACCACATGTCTAGGTCCTGCCTTTGGTCACAAGTACCCCATGCTCCTGCCTCAGGACAGCGCTTTGAATCAAAAAGGCCAGCTCCCCCAGTGATTCTCCAGACTACAGCTTGCGCTGTTTTGGTTCTTGAGATTTCTTTCTCCTTCTACTTCCTGATCCACTACACTGTGTTTTCCCTTTGCTCTTCTCCTATGTTGCCCAACGCTGTGTATGGCATTGCTGGGGGCAAAATTATTAAAGCAAGTGGGCCCCTTCGTCCTGGGTACCACACCTCCACCCATTCGTCCTCAGATTGAAAGGACTTATTTTGCCCTCCACTGCCTATGGCATTCCACCTTTACACTTACCCTGCAGGTCCTACTCTTGCCGGGATCCACACATAGTCTTGGTTTCATTTAAGGGTCTAAGAGCAGGGCCTTGTGTTCCTGCCTAGGAAACGTGGCTTTTTTTCCTCCCAAGTGGACCTGGATAATTCCCATTTTTTTTGGAAGCAAAATTCAGGACCACGCCTACTCCTACTGTCCGCTTTCCACCTATATTCTTCCTGTCCATGGGGCATAGGGACATCTCAACTGTCACCTCCCACCTTGGCAGCTTAGCAGAATGCACTTGGGAAGCAAACACCAAGACTAGGAGGATGACAGCCAGGGTTGGTCTGGGTTGCAACTCGAAGGCCTGACCAGCACCTGAGGGCTTTCTCCAAGGCTGTTTTTACTTTGGTTTAAGGAAGGCATTTAAGGCTACTTTGGAGCCAACAGCTTTTGGAAAAGGAGAGAAAAGAGCAAAGAGCAGGGACCATTGGATGCAGTATTCAGACGCAATCGCAGCAGTTGAAGAAACGGACACAGCCAGCATGATCCACTCGACTTCCCAAGGCCTAATCAGGCATGAAGGGCCAGGGGCCTCCTTTTGCCCTTTTCCCAGAAGTCTAAAGGAAGTCAGGAGTCCCGCGGGGGCTCAGTGTAGTAAGGCCCTTAGGGCTTCCGCAGAGCTGAGCCCCAAACGCCCTACCCTCCTCACACCAGCAGAGGGCGCGCACCGCCTACGAGAATGCACTTGGGAAGCAAACAGTTTCGGCTGCAGCAGCCCCGGCAGAGAGCGAGAGCTCGGGAAGGGTGGGAGGGAAAAGTGAGCGGGCAGATCCCGGGACGAGGCGGTCACGACGACCGGGGTCGGCGGTCGGGTGTGAGCGCGCGAGAGCAGTGGGAGTGAGAATTGGGCAAGAAGTGAGGCTGGGCGGGAAAGCTGGGAAAGGGATGGTAGAAGGGGGACAGACGCAGGTGGCTGTACTGGGAAACGCCAGCAGGTGGGAGAAAGTGCACCAGGTTGGAAGGTAGGGGCGTGGGGTGCGATGTGGTGGGGTAAGAGGTCAGGGACGTAGCAGAAGGTCTCTCTCCAGGCTGAACCACCCCCAAGCTGAGCCACCCCCAGGGGCTCTTCGCTCTGGCCAGCAGCACCCAGGTCCTGTGCCCGTTCTCTGGAGCTCTTCCTGAAAACCTTTCTGCTGGCCGTAGGCATGGGCTGGGCCTCTCCCTCCGCTGCTCCGCTCCGCTCGCAGAGGCTCTTGGAGCAGTAAAGAATCCGAAAGGAGGCCGCAGGGAGCTGGAGAGCTTTAATGGGGCTAAGGGAATAAAAACACACCGCCAGGATACAAGAGGGGAGAGAGCAGACCGCGAGTCTTGGGCTATGGCCTGAACCAAACCTGCTCCAGTCCCAGGAAGAGGCCTCCAAGGTGCCAGGAGGGGCAGCTCCGTGGGGGACAAAAAGTAAAAAATGATTTGGAATTGGGAAACAAGAGATCAGAGTGGAAGAGCCTACTAGGTGTGAGAGAGAGGTCCAGTAGAGAGAAAACAAAGAGGGGTCATAGTCCTTGGGGTCTAGGGGCTCGGTGGGGTTGAATCTAGAATTTAAGGAAGATCAAGGAGGCCTCTGATCTCCCCAGTCTGAGCCGCGGTGACAGGCAGAGTCAAATCTGGGTTAAGGAATGTGGGGTAAACTCATCCCTTCCCCCGGAGTGAGGATGGGAGTTGGCGGCGAGGCTGTGGGGAGGCCGTGCGCGCGGCCGGGCGTCCTGCCTAGTGATAGTGGCCCCCCAAATGCGAGGCGGCGGCCACCGCGCCGAAGGGCCCCGGCGGGGGCTGCAAACCTGGACTAGGGTAGAGCGCTGCGGTGGCGCTGGCGGCGGGGCCCGGGCCCGGCCAGTAGGAGAAGCCCGCGGGCGCGACGCCCGCCGAGGCCGCCATGAGGTTGAGTTTGGAGAGGCCGGGGAAGGGCAGCGGCGCGAGGCCGGCGGGCAGCTTGTAGAGCGCGCCGTCCTGGGCTGCAGCTGCGGCGGCGGCGGCGGCGGCGGCGTGGGCGTGCGCGGGCGGCGGCTGGCAGGCCTGCGCCAGCCCCTGGAAGTCGAAGCGATAAGCGTAGCGTTTGCCATGCACTTTGCTCATGATGTTCTTGTCGTAGTAGTAGCGCAGTGCGCGGCTCAGCTTGTCGTAGTTCATGTTGGGCTTGCTCTTGCGCTCGCCCCAGCGCCGAGCCACCTCGTCCGGGTCAGTGAGCTTGAACTCGCCGTGGCCACCCTCCCACGCGATGCAGCCGGCGTTTGCGCGGTCGGCCAGCAGCTCGAGCAGAAACTGCCACAGCTGAATCTGACCGCTGCCTGCAGGAAAGGAGACGGTCAGCCGCGAACTGGATGGGAACTGGGGGGAGAGGTGAGGCGGGAAACCGACCCGACCCAGGAGGGTCCCGCAGAAGAAAAAGGGCTCGTCCAGCGGTGCTGTGGGTGTGATTGGGCCGGCTGGCGGGGAGGAGCAGATCAATAAAGCCGTCCCCGGCCCTTTTGGCACAGTGGAAACACAGCTCAACTCGGTGGACAAAGCTGCTTAGTTGCATTGTTCCAAGGAAACTGAGGGTATAGAAGGTGCTCTCTCTGTCCACCGGGAAGAAGCAGTGAACCAGGCAGGGCCCTTGGCTTCCCAAGGTGTCCAAGGACTATATGAGCTCTATTCAGGACAGAGCTCGCACGGGGTTGCCCCGAAAGGTATAGGACTGCCCACCTCAGTTGGACCTCGTCCAGAAATCTGGAAGGAAAGGGTCAGGCGTGCAGTAGGATGGCGGTGGTCACTGCTGCACAAAACCCAACCAGCTTCTCCAAACACCTTGTCAGTTGGGAACGAAGAGCAGAGGCCCTGTATACTGGGGGAAGTTCCCAGGGTCTCCCTGTACTAGCAAGTTTCAGGTGTGTAGAGCTTTGCACCAGCGCAGCTCCCGGCTAAGGCTCTCCAGGGCTCTCTTTTCGAACCAGGCGGGATCCCCTTTGAGGGCAGGTGCCATGGTTCCCTAGCGCTGGACAGCACTGGGGAGCAGAGAGCAAACTGAGGAACATTTGTGCTGGACTCTAGCTCCTCCTGCTCTTGCCCAATCGCCCTCCAATTTGGGGGTTTCTGGGGATGGCAAGAAGGTCTTCCCTAGATATGCAGTCGGTGAAAGAGTTGAGGCCGGGGCTGGGGAGATAGCTCAGTAGGATAAGCACTTCCCTGGCAAGCGCAAGGGCCTGAGTTCAAGAGTTGAGGCCTTGGAATTCTTGCTCCCTTGTCTTGAAGCTCAAAAGGGAACAACATCTTGATACAATCACCCCAACTCCCTTTGAAATAAAACAGACTTTCTTCTAGTTTGTCCAATTATTGGATCAAGGCAAGTCTATTGAACCCCTTTTTCTATTCAATCATTGGCTCGGAACCTAGAAGCTTCTTTATCCTATAACTTCAACTCTAATCCTCACAAGCTGGACTCAGAGTGCCTTGAGTCTTAAGAGCAGAAGCAAGGGAAGGTTTGCACTAAAACGTGCATCTGCCATGGATTGTGGCAACCTTAGAGGCTCGGGAGCACATCTGCATTTGGTGTCATGTTCCCCTCCTTCTGGAAAAACCAGCTTCCAACTTTGCCTTTTTGTGGTTTGTGACTTGGGGAGATCTATGGTGCTGACTAGGGTGCCAAGGCTCAAGGAGCGGTTGCCTAGAGGGTCTGCTGACCACAGGGTAATTTAGTGACCCTCCAAAGTGGCAGCCAATCTGGGAACCAACAACAATGGCCTTAGGTCTCCGAGGCAGAGCTATGCTAACTCAGTAGGCTCAATAGGCCAGCAGGAAGCATGGCAGGGGTTCTCCCCACTGGAGCTCTGTGGCAAGGGAATCATTCTCCCGGTTCCCTTGCATGGTGTGCTGTGTCTGCTACCACCAGGGAAAGGGCACTAAGCATCTCAGGCCTGGCCTCAAAGCTGGGTCACACAGCAGATAAAGGTCTGGAGATTGGGTCCTCTTCCTAGGACTCAAAGAGCCCTGGGACTCAGAAAATGCAAGCACCGAAGGTGGAATGAATGTTTCCCTAGAGGCCTCGGCCCTCTTTCTAGAGCCTGTGGTACATGCGCACTGCTCCCAGCCTCTCGGTCGGGTGTCCGTGGCTGGCTCGCGCGGAGGTCCCTGCCTCAGCCCCCATCCTCTACCCTCACCTCCGCCTGCGCAGGGTACGACCCAGCTCACCTTTCTGTACCGCGGGGCTTAGCGGCCCCCAGCTCGGGCTTTTCCCTTCCTTGAAGATACCGTCTCCGACGGGATCTGCGGCGCAGAAGAAAAAAATCCGGTAGACCCGGGCGGAAGTTGTGGGCTTGACCGAAAAGGCCTTGGGCCAAGTCTCTAGGGGGCTGCTGTGTTCTAGGGGCCCGGGCCACCAGCTCCTCCTCCCGGAGCCCAGCCCCAGCGCGCGCTGCGCAGAGCCCCTCCGTAGCGCCCAAGTCAGGAAACGCGTCCAGGAAAAAGGAAATCCGTTTTCCGAAGGGGCCGGCTGGAGGCTTATAAAGCTGAGCCGGGTTTGAGCCAGCCGAGCCTGAGCCAACAGAGCCCCTCGCAGCGGAGAGGAGGGCGCTTGGAGGGCCTGGCCGGTGCGAACGCTCGGGCACGAAGGTGAGGAGCTGGAAGGGCAAAGGGGCGACGCCCGGCGGACCCCAGCCCCCTCGAGCCTGACCCAAGTCAAGTCCTCCACCACGTGAAGGTCCAGACCGGCTCCCAGGCTCCCAGCCTGCTCACCTCAAGTTCTCTGGACCTACACTGAAATCCCGGAGCTCTTTATCTGCCTTTCAGGTTTTTCTGCATGCCCCAAATTGCAGTCAGCCCTCCACCCACAACCTGACTGTCCCGACTGCATCCTTTGGACCGCAGGACCCCTCCCCAGGTCCTGGTTTAGATTCCCGCCCAGGGTCCTGGTACCTCCAGCCCCCGCTGCTCCCTGGTACCTGGCAGGTACATGTTGATCAGCAGGGGCTGGGTGGCGCCGCTCTGTCTCATCGCTGCCGGGGGACTGGGCGGTGGGAGATGGGGGGGGACAGGAAGGGGGTGCGTCTGGCTTTGCGCTTCGGGGCCACCGATCCCGCCCGAGGCGACCGCGGGTGACAGGGAGGAGAAGACAGAGCGGGTCCAGCAGGGCCTAGCAGGAGGGGGCAGCCCGGTTGTGGTGGGGGCCTGGGGGGGGGGGTCTTGGAGCGACGCTCCCAGCTACAGGGCCGCTCGGAACCCTATGGCCCCCGCTCGGGCAGGGGCCGCAATTTCCGTTTTAATTAAAGTGCGGCCGCCTCAGCCCCCCGGACCCCGCCCCCGCCCCTCTTATCTTCCCATCGCAATAAAGTCTCCAACGCGCAGTGCCACAGCCAAGCGCACCCGGCAGCCCCCTGCGCCCCGCAGCCCGGGAGACGCGCGGGGGATGGGCCCCAGCCGCGCCCTCGGATGGGGGCCGGGTGCGCGTCGCTTTTCCGCCTGCTGTACTCAGCAAACAGTGGTGGAGAGGGGGTGCCTGCTCACTATGGACCCCCAGCCACATCCCCTCCCTAGAGCCTTCCTTCCAGCGCGCTCCCGCCCCTCTAGCGGCTCGCTCTCCTCCCCTACCCCCTCCCGGGTCCCCGTCTCCAGGCTGCGTTATCTGCATCTTCACTTTTAAATTTCCGCTTCCCTCTCTCTCGCTGTCGCCGCGCTCTCGGCCCTGCAGCCGTTGCTCCCTTTATCTTCCCCCACTCCCTCCCCCGCAGCTCGCTTTCTCCCTCCTGCTTCTTTCCCACTCTGCCCTTCCCTGGAGACTAGATCCCGGCCCTGCTTCCCCCCTCCTTTGCTGTCCGGGTTTCCTGACTTTCTCCCCTCTACCTACCCCAGGCCGGATGCTGGGGCTTCACCCTGGCAACTTCTCCCTGTGTCCCTCCTTTCCCTACCCTGTCCCCGTCTTAGCCCTCTTCTGGTCATCCCATCTCTACCTCTCTTCATTCCTGCATTGCCCCTGTGGTCCCTTCCCCTTTTTCCTTCATTCAGTTCCCACAAACTGATGCTGACCTCTCAGAGCATCCCAGAGAGTGTGCTGACTTTTCCTGGCAGGTCAGGGCTGCCCTTCTGCTTTCCCTGCAACTATTTCCCTTCCCTTCTTTCCTCTTCCTTGTCTCCCAGTCTGCCCCACCCTGATCTCCACTCCTTTGCAGTTTATCCCAAAGCCCAGCCCTGGGGGCACAGGGGTTGAGTTAGGGTTGTGTACTACACATGGCTTCTCGCATGTGAAGAGAAGCTTGACTGGCATCTCTGGGTACTTGTGGGGCTTCCTGACACTGCAGAGGTGGCCTTAGGAGGGATGCTACTGACAGTGGTGCCCAGGGTCAGGAGTCCACCATCAGCAGCCATGCAGCATACCCAGTGGCTACTGTCAGAATTAATTTCTTAATAATGACCTTTTGCCTGTGGGAGCCCAGGGATGAGAACCACATAAAAAGGGGCAAGTCTCTTGCAGGGTGCCTGATCCTGGGTGCCTGGGCTAGCTGGAAAACCCTACTCCCAGAGTTGTGCCACCCTCTGTCCACCTTCACTTGTTACACTGCTGGCCTGCTCATCTTTGCTGGCAAAGGGTTCAGAGGAGCCTGAAAGGACAGTGGTGAAATCTGGCTGGGGGACATGGAGGTCCCAGGACCCCAGATGATTAGACTTGCAATCTGGTGGGAGCGAAGATAAGGGTTGGGATGTCCCCTGAAGATCAAACTCAGGACTCCACAGAAGAGGGTCTTGAGGGGGGAACAAGTCATAATCTTGTGCCCTCTGACTGCTTCGAGAAGCCTCTTTGACAAACAACAAGGGGCAAGAGGCTAGGAGCCGGGGGAGCCAGAGATATCCAGATCCACCACGCATGGCTCTCGGGAAGGCAGCTGGGGCAGAAGGGAGAGAAGCTCAGCTAGGAGACAGCTGTCCCCAGAACAGGCCAAGGATCAACAGCCCAGGGTTGGTGCCCAGTCTGACTGAGGCCTCGGTGCCAAAGGGAAGGAGTGCTGGCAAAAGTATGTGAGTGGGGGTCTCCTCATTCTATGTGGAACATGGCCCTCTTCCATCTCCTCCTACGCTGAGGCAGCCAAGGCAGAAGCCAATGAGAGTCCTTGCCAGTTTCCCCTCCTCCCTCTCCTACCTGGCTGGATCTACAAACCATCAGCCTGCCCAGAATGGAAGGAAGAGCAGAAGGCGGAAACACTTAGGCCTGGCTGGCCTCTTGGACTCCCCTTCCCAGCTGCCTGTGGGTTGGGGGCGAATAACCTGACCCATGGGTCCAGAAAAATGGACCTAGAAGATGCATGTTAGCAAATATCACCTCTCCCAAGTCCTTCAGTTGTTGGGGGGCAACTGAGGCTGAGAGCTGGTGCCCTGAGCCATTCTGTTGATTCTTCCCAGTAATCAGAACTCCCAGAGGTTGGGCAGCTCAGCAGAGCAAAGATAACTGTCCCCTTTGTCCACTGCCTACTCCTAGAAGAGGCAGGGAAGTTGAGTTGCTGTACTCTGAAGGGCCCAGTGTGTCTGGTTTTTGGGTTCAACTCTTAGTTGCTGTGGTTCCAACTTGTGTGACTCTGAGAGAAGCCATATCAGCTCTGTGGTACACTTTAGTCTCTGTATCTGTAAAATGGGTTTGTAATCCCTGAAAGCGAAGTTTATAACACACATGAGGTGCTTAGGACAGGTTATACATACTGAGCTACTCTCTCTCTCTCTCTCTCTCTCTCTCTCTCTCTCTCTCTCTCTGTTGTGTGTGTGTGTGTGTGTGTGTGTGTGTGTGTGTGTTGTGAGACAAGATCTCACTGTGTAGCCTAGGCTGGCCTCCAACTCACAGCAATCTGATCCTCCTCCTGCCGTAGCTTCCAGATAGGTGGGGTCAGCGGAACATGTGGAGCTAGGGGATGGAAACCTGGTTTGGGTTTTTTGTTTTGGTTTTGAGACCGTCTTACTATGTAGTTCAGGCTGGCCTTGAACTCACTATGTAGCCCAGGCAAGCCTCAAACTCTCGATGATCTTCTTGCCTCAGTCTCCCAAGCACTGGGATTATAGTGTGTGTCACCACACCTGGCGACCCTGGGTTTTGCATCACGATCCTTGGACCCAAAGCTTGGCTTGACATTTGATGACATCATTAGGCCCCAGTTTCTTCATTAGTGAAATAAATGAAGAATGGAAGGTATTAGGAGGCTCAAAAGCATCACAGGCTATGAACCATACAATCCACTCAAATGTAATGCAGAATTCATATTCCACATAGAACTTTGTCCTCGGTACCCTGACCCAACCCAGGACCCATGGGGAGGAGGGGGAAACAAGGGTCCTACACTGACTACCCCCCAATGTCTGCCCATAACTTTACAGTTCCAAGGGTTCCTTACTGAATCCTCCCACCAATACCCCCAGACACACAGGACAGGGATTAATAGCCCCGGTTTCCAGGTGAGGGAATTGAGGGTCAGGGTATGTGTTGGGTTCCAGGGGTTTTGACCTAATATTCCAGGTTTCTTGCCACAGAGGCAGTTGCCCAGCTTCAAGTCTAAATGCTTTCTCTGTCACCATGTCTCACTGGTCTAAGTGATAATCTGGGCTACTGGGCTCTTGACAACCCAAGAATCCTTAAAGGACAAGGTGAGGGGACTCCAAGGACCTCAGCAGGCTCTGCCTATATGGGGTAGGGGTATCATATCATTAACTGTGCCAAAGGGGGAACCACACTTGTGCCACTGGGTCCCACAGCTGCTGCCATCCTCAGCCCTTCTATGGCTTAGGTTCTGTTCCCTTGTCCTTAGGAGGATAGGGAGAAAAGGAAGAATAAAAGGGGGTTGATTTGCAGTGGCAGAAAGGAAGGATATGCATGAACATCATTTGTAAATGCTAGAGCTAAGTATCATGCAAGATACTGTTATTTTGACAAAGGGCCTGAAGGTGAGGTTCAGAGAGAATTCTTCCCCTTAGAAGGGCCTGGGAGGCAGTGAGACCTCCCACTAGTTCCTTTCCTGGGAGGGGGAGGAAAGGGAGTATTGAAAAAAGGCTGGCAGATGCCCTGGTTAGGTAGGGAATCAGTTAAAGATAACAGCTGCAGGTGCCCTGGGCATTAGAGAGGAACCTGACAGAGCTTCTGCATAGCATTGGAAGGTTTGCCTTGTGTGGTGGTACCTGGTCCACAGGTATGTGGAGGTTAACATCCAGCAATGAGCCCTGCTTTTGATGTGTGTCTACTCTGTTATCTTCACTTGTTCACCTGGCCCACATTGGTAGGGGTGGAGAGATTGCTTGCATTTCGTAGATGAGATTCCCTCCAGCAATTTCTGCTCATTCTCACCATAGCCTACCCACATCCATCATAACTTAATTTATGCTTTGTAGTCAAGGGTCCTGGATCCTGAGGGGAGGGTCAGGTTTCGATCTTCAAAAGTATGAGAATGGATATTACAAAGTGAGACATGAAGGAGGCAAGAGGGGCAGGCAGGTTCAGGATACTTTATTGAGGGCCCTCAAGGGTGGTGACTGGGGCCGTGGAGCCTAGTGCTGGACTCTTCGAATGGACTGTAGCTGCCCAGTGTGGGCCTGTGTCCCAAACTCACTGTAGTTACGGAACTCTCCGCTATGCCGGTCTCGCTCCAGTACATATTGGTATCCTCGGTAGCCTGGGTACTGGTAGGCCACCCACCTAGGCCAGTGAGGAGACAGGAGTGATAAGTAGGTTCTGCTGCCCCCTCTTTGTGTCTTCCACTAGTAGACCACCTCCTCTGCTCCCAATCCTCAGCTCCAAAACCATTGCTTCCACTTTCCCTACCTGGATCCCCTCCTGCTCTGCCTACTGCTCTGGGCTTTCTAGGTACCTGCCTCATCTCACCTTCCATTCCCACCTTCCATGGCCTCCCCACCCAGATCTTCAACCTCTCCTCCTATAGCCTCGCTCTATGTTGTTGGCCTGGCTCCCATTCTCCATTACTTCTTCCCTCTCTCCATCCTCTCACTTCCCCTGGATATCAAGTTCCCAACCTCTTTACCATGTTTCTCAGCACCATCCCTATACTCCTCCCACCACCTCCCTCTCCTGTCATCTCCCCTCTTCCGGTCCCAGGACTCACGCTCCGGAGCTGACTTTGAGGGAGCCCACATCCTTGCTGGCCCAGCCCATGGAGGGCAGGGATGGGTAGTCATCGCTGAGTTCAAACTTGCAACCCTGGAAGTTTTCCCCCTCAAACAGTGTCACACGGCTGTCACTGTGGCTCTGAGACACAGGCAGGGTAGGGGTCAGAGAGGCAGATCTCCAAAGGGGTGCTAATGGTTACATTCTTAGCCCCACTCACCTCACCCCTTTCTCAGCACAAGTTATACAGTTTCTTAGATCCCACAAGCAATCCCAGAATTCACCCCATCAGTTCTCCAGTAGTCTTGCAAACTGGGGTGTTCAGCATCCCCACCTGGCCAACCCTTGACTTTGAGCTAACATAGTAGGATTAGAAGGGTACCAGAGATCTTTTCAAGTCATCGCTAGAGGGTGTCTTGTGATATAGGCCCATCATTCGGAGGAAAATAAGAGAACTGTACAGCCCATTATAACCAAGACCTAAGGAACTCAGTGGCTGCCCAATCCCTCTGCCCAACACCCTGGACACAGCCTCACACAGAGTGGCCCAGCCAGTGTTTGGCAGAGTCAGTAGAACAGGCCAGGGCAGTGGTTGCTGCCAGGCTTTTCAGGTGCCAGAGGCTTCCCCTTGCAGTAGGTCCCAACCTTTTGGAACAGAAAACCTGGCCAGGCTGGATCCCAGCTTCAGGCCTCATCGCACTAAGTGACCACAAACTGGAAATAAAAAACCAAATCTTCATCTCACTGTTTCTTATGAACTCCCCGACACACACAGGGAGACCAGTGGACCCTCTTCTCACTCTGGATCCTTGGACTGAGTTCTAGTCTCACCCTCATGTTGACTCTTGAAACCATCATAAGTCCCATTGCCCCTGGAAGTCCCATTCTCACACCTGTGTGCGGAGCTAACCGCGAGGACTAGACCTCCTAGGCTGCATGATGGGGTGCAGTGAGCATAAAGGATCTTGGGTGCTCACAGCAGGGTTGCCCTTTGTTGCTGTCCGCGGTGCTGACACCAAGCTCCTGGCCTACCTAGGCCCACCAACCTGCTTTTCCCCACACTCTCTGCTGGTGCTGGGAAGTAATGCCATATCCCACGTCTAAGGTTTGTTAACACGCTCCTGTGCACCGGCAAAGACCTTTCCAGGGCACCATGGAGGAGCCAGGAGGAGGGGAGGGGGGAAGTGTGTTTGACTTACGGCGCACAGCACTGGCCGGAAGGACTGCAGCTGGGTGCTGGGGTGGCCGCTGCTGCCGCTCCAGGCGCTCCAGCGAGGATAGTCTCCCTTCTCTAGAATGAACTGCTGTCCCTGGAAGTCGGGGTACTCAAAGGCTACCCATCTGGAAAAGAAGGGGAGTTGCGAGGGCTCTGCCCAGCTCACTCCTTCCTCCATCTTCCCCTTTTTTGTTGAGTTTGAAAAAAGCAGGAAACCCCACTCTGTTTCTCCAGCCCCAGACCCCTTCCCTGACACCCCCATCTCATAGCAGTCTGCTTCTAGAAGGTGAAGACCCTAAATTGATTGCTATCTGGGGTTTGAGGGATCCAGGCTCCCCAATCAGGGATCCCAGGCTACAATCACCGGACTAAGTGCTCCCACCTTCAGATTTAGGCGCTGGCGCATGAAGCATCGACGCCCCCCTCCCCCGCTGTAGGGAAGAAGCTGCCCCGCTGCTGAGGGCCCCTGACTGAACTCCAGGAGACCAGAGTGGGGCCAACTGGAGAGATTTGGCTTCTTTCCTTGAAAGAAGCACAGAGTCATCTAACCGCACAGAGAAAAACTTTGGGAAGGACTTTACACTGGAGTCATGGGTTGTTTCTCGCCTTTGTTCCTTTAGCTCGCGCGCACGAGGACATTCTCTTCCCCCACGATTTGCCTTGCGACAGATGGGGGCTTTGGGGAGGTCAGGCCGAGGGTTTTCCTATGTTGAAGAGTCTTCTTCGGAGTTTACAGGGCCTGGATCTGAGGTTCCAGTTCCAAACCTGGGCTGGGGGAGCCCGGCACAATACAACTCAACCCAGCAACAGCAGGGTTCTCACTCACGCGCCGCTTTCCACCTTGACGGAGCGCACCCTGCACAGGCCTCCGCGCTCGCTGACGTTCGCGCAGTCGCTCAGCAGCTGGCAGCGACGGCCCTGGAAGTCCTCCTCATCCCAGAGGGTGAGGCAGGCGGTCGCCTGGCCCGGCGCGGGGGCACTGCTCATGCTGCTAAGGATAGGAAGGGCGAAGCGCGCTCAGCGCCTGAGAGCACCTTTACTAGGTCTGCCCAAGCCGGGAAGGGGGTGAGGACCCGGGGCTGCGCCCCGCGAGGCTCTGGACCCGGTTGCCCAGAGCTCCCCCACAGCTCGCCCTTCCCGCCCAAGCACCAAGGTATTCACCGGGTGGTGAGTGCGCCCGGAGCAAAGCGGAGAGGCTGCGCGCCCTGGCCCGCGGGGCTTTATACCCGCGCCTCGCCCCCGCCCCTGCCTCTCCAGTCGGGGAGGGGAGCTGAGTCAGCTGGGGGCCCGAGGGCCCTGGCCGCCGCCGATGCCGCCCTGGCCCCAGCTCGCGCTGATCACAACGGAAAGTGCTGAGGCGCATGGCGCAGCCGGCGGGGCCCGCGCTGACTCGGCGCTTTCTTTCTTCAGGGCCAGAGCAGGGCAGCGTGCACCCAGCCTCGGGGCAGAACGCGCCCTCCTAGGCCCAGACCGCCGGGCGGAGGAACCAGGGCTCCCTGGCGCCTTGCGTGAGATCGCGCCTTGCGGGACGCGTCGCGGAGTTCTTCCGAAGCTCTCCACGCTGCCTCTGCCGCAGCCCGAGGTCGAAGCCTCTCTTTCGGGGGACCTAGGGCAGCGGTAGCAAAGGCTCTCCACAAATGACTCTGCTTGCGCCCCTGTCTTTTCCGCTGAAGTATCAGTCATCACCACTTCTTTCCTTCCAAGCTTCGCTTCGCCGATGGAGCTCCGCGCTGGGCGAGTTTTCTTGTCCCGGCCCGGAGGAAGCGGTGACCAGTACCCGCCACTAGGCAGCGCTAAATGCGGTAAACGCAACGCCTGAGCCAAAGCGCCGTTTTACAAAAAAACGGTTTAGGCGGGAAGATGGCTCAGTAGAATAAGTGCATGCCTGGCAAGCACAAGGGCCTGAGTTCAATCCCCAGTTCGGGGGGGTGGGGGAAGAAAACAAAAAACGGTTTAGATGTAACAGTACCAAAGGGAGGGGCCAACTATGGTAGGAAGGGTTTCTCACCCTTTCCTCCTCCCTGACCCGCGACGGTGCCCGGTCCTCCAAGAATCTCCAGGGCCTGGGGTCTTCCGTTCTGACACCTGTTAGAGAGCTATCTGTGATTGCTGAGTGCTCAGTTCCAGCCAGGCTCTTGGTTCAGGCTTTGCAGTGCGAGGTCTCAGCTAAATCCAAACAAGGCCCTGTGAAGTGGATTCTGTCACTGTCCTGAGATGGGCAGGTGGGGTCCAGGATGTGGCCAAGGTACCACAGCTGAGAAGTGGCCCAGCTGAGATGAAGGTCCTAGGCTCCTGCCTCCACTGCCCGGGTGCCACGGAACTGAGGGGTAGAGGACAGAGGGACAAGAAGATGGACAAGGACAAGGGAAAGGCTCGAAGCCCCACAGAGTAGCTCCAGGAAGGAGATTTCTCACCACCTGCAGCAGAGTACCCTAACCACTGTAACTGTCGGTGAGACAAGGCTTCTTGCAAAATGGCCATGGAGCATTCCTCCTTGGTGGTAGGGTGGGCCAAACTCCAGGGGTAAGTGTAAGGGAACTTTTGTTTGTTTGTTTGTTTTTTTCCAGAACTGGAGATTGAACTCAGGCCCTTGCGAGTGTAAGGGAGCTTAAGAGCCTAAGGATATTGGTTTTTAGTACTAGTTTGGAACTAGAGTCCCAAGGAGGTACAGGCACTTGGCCAAACTCACACAGCTATTCTTCCAAGCAAGAGTAGAACTTTTTGAACCCAAAGCCAGGGTTATACCACTGCCCATCCCAACTCCTGTGACCAAAAAGGCTTGAAGAGGCAGCTGCCTAGCTCCGAAAGCCTAGTCAGCCTAACCTAGCATTTCTCCCAGCCTGTGGGGCTCATTACCACTCAGAGCCTTCATATGTGCTGGTTCCATTCCCTCGAATGTCCAGGAGATCTTGGCATGGCTAGCTCCTCTGACACCTCCTGGGGGACACTGTCCATGGCCCTCTTACCATCTGTCACATGGCCCTGATTCTCTCTAGAGCTATCACTTTGTAAAATCTTTTCATGTTATGTTGACAGGTGTATGAAAGTCTCTCTTACTATGGTGTGGGTTCCTTTCAGAAGCATGGGGACCATGCCTGAATGGTTTTCCATCATTGTGTGTTTTGGGTACATAGTAGGCCCTCAATAAAACCTTCAGAGTAAATGAATAAGATGGTAGAGTGTGGTTCAAGAGAAGGGTTGGAGGGAAAGTTCTCCAGTGTGAGTGGAGTGACAGTTTGCCCATACTGTGAATCACCCCTTCTTGATATTTTGGCTTCCTGAGAACAGGCACTGAGAGAGGCAGTGCCTCCTTTGGACCTCTGTTTTCACTTGTGAGCAACTGCTACTGGGGCTCCCACCCATGAAGGTGGGTGCCCTAGGACTGGGCATGAGCTAGAGTCCATGTTAGAAGGGCATGGGTCAGAGATGAGACAATGACCACTGGGTTTGAATGTGAGTGGCACCAAGTCTGGTACCCTCTCTACTGGAGAAGGGATAGACGAAAACAATTTGGTATAATTTCCACAAATTGCACTAAATGTGGTGGTACACACCTGTAATCCCAGTACTTAGGAGGCTGGAGGCAGGAGGAGGTAGGAGGATCATCTCAAGTTCAAGGCCAGCCTGGGCTACACAAAGATCCTGTCTCAAAAAACCCAAAACAATTTCCTCCAAACCACAGGGGATCCAAAATACAGATCTGGGTAAGGGCCAATCCTGGACCCTCTATGTCCTAGCCCTTGCTATCAATTTCACAAGTCCAGACATCAGACAGGTATGAGGCACAAGGAATCTGATTTCACATCCTCCTCCGCCCCTTTTTATTTCCATTCGACAATTATGGATTCTGCCACCAGGGGGCGCAACCAGACTGCGCGGACCACAAAGGGGGCGCGGGCGGGGCGAGAATTGGTGGGAGGTTGGGAGGGCCAGGGTAGCAGGGGACAAATGCGTCAGGCTGTGCGTGTGCACTGTCTGTGATGAAGCTGGCTGTCGGTTCTGACTTAGGGTCTGGGCAGGCGGTTCGGGCCAAAGGAGCGGCTTTCAGTCCAGGTGTTGATCGCAGAGCAGTAACCAACGGGAGGGGGTGGGACATGCGCTGTGTATTCAGGGAAGGGGCGCGGGAGGGGAGTGGGGAGGTGGCGTGGCTGAGCTCTGGGCTGGAATTAGGCATCCCATCACCCAGTCCTACGGAGGCTTGGGGCCGGAAGATGCAAAGTTGGAGCTCAGCCTAGGCAATTTAGGGAGACAGTCTCAGAGGTTAAAAGGAGGGGGGAGTAGGGATATAACTCAGTGTGAAGACCCCAGGTTCAGTCCCCAGTACAACACAGACACACCTCCAGCTCCACACACTCAAAGGCTGGGTTCTGGGGTGAGTTCCAGAGTCTCTCTCTCTCTCTCTCTCTCTCTCTCTCTCTCTCTCTCTCACACACACACACACACACACACACACTCACACACGCAGGTCTGTAGGTCTAATCTTGACATCAGTCAGCCTCTCTGGTCTCTGTACTTTGTTTTCCTCCTCAGGAGGAAGACGTGAAAGCTCTCCTCCTCACCCTACCCCCCCTCCCCAGTGGCTTTAGTCACAGTTGTCTGCAACTGGCTCCCTCACGAATGGTCCACCCACCCACACCACCCACAGCCTCCAGGGCCCCACATCTCTTGGGCCTCGCCTGGGTTTTAGGAAAAAGCCAGAAAGGGCTCCTCTGGTGGCTATAGAACCCTCCCAGTGTGCTTTCTACTCCTCATCAGCTCTGCATCCCCCAGCCTCCCCCTTGGACCCCTCACCCTCAGCAGCTGGTCCTGTTTGTTTTCCCAGATCAGTTGCGCCCCGAGCTTCCTGAGGGATGGATGCCCAGGTGGCTTTGTTTGCCAGCTTAGCACGGTCGCCCTCACCCCCTCTGCGTCTGCAAGCCTGATGTGGAGAGCAGGGGGTTAGAAAAAACTAAGCATCCTCAACACCATCCCTCAGGGATCTTATCTTCAGAGAACCCCCATGCTGTCACCACCCAATCCTTCCTCTCAGACAGGAACCTTGGATGGAACAGAGAATCCTTTAGGACTCCATCTTTCCCCACACCACCATCGCACACAGACTGGATAGAGCATCCCCCAAGCCCTACAGAGCTTGAGTCCCAGAGCCCAGCCAGACTCGCCCACATGGAGGCATAAAAATTCTGTAAGGAAACCCTCAGTCTCACTCAGAGCCCTCACTCAGTCTTCATCCCAGGCAAAGGCCCGGGGAAACCCCCTCAGAGAGCCCCACTCCACGGATGGCCCAACTTCTGGTTACTGTGGCCAGCTTAGAGGTCCTGGTGCCCATTGTCTTATCCTCCAGGTGGCCCGCCCCGCCTTGCCCTCATTTCACTGGGAAATCACCCAGGGCTTTTGGAGACTAAAGATGCAAATTCAGTGAATGGTGCCCTCTACCACGCTGATCCCATCCCAGCCCCCCAGTCTGGGACAGGCAGATGAGTTCCTTCCCTGGGGCTGTGCAAGGCTGGTCTCCCGGGAGATAGAGATAACTCCAGCAGAGACCAGCCAGGTTCAAGCAGGCTGTGAGGGAGCCCCACCCGCCCAGACCCATTGTCCGGGCCCACCAGAGACTAAGCTCTTCTTCTCTGCCCCTGGATGGGGTTGGAGAACTGGCCACTCTCCAGGGAGGTGGGAGGCAGCTTCTACCACCACCTCCTCCTCTCCTCTCCAGGATCCAAGGCCATAGGAATCATACAGCGAGGCAGGGAGAGGACACACACTTACATTCAGGGTCAACTGGATGCCGTCCCACATACCCAGTGTGTGAATGGCCAAGTTCTAGGATTCAACAGACCCCACAATGTCATATTTACCATGGGTGGAGGTTTGTCACTCACCTATTCCTCAAATATTTAATAAGATGTACTATGTGCTAGTCACCATATAAGGTGGGCTCACACTGGAGCATGTCCTCTTGCCCATCCCACAGTCACCCACAGAGGTCTCATCTTAGCTACCCTGCCACCATCATACAGGAGCTGAAGGACCCAGAGGACTCTCTCCATTGCTGATGCCTGGGTGCAAATCCTAGCCAGCTCCACTGCTTATAAATTGGAAAATCTTGCACACTACCTCTCAGTTTTCCCCTCTGCAAGATGGGAACGATTACATTAAAGGCTTATGAAGATTTGGGTGTGCATAAAGCACATAACTCCTGGGCAGTAGGCACCCAACAGAGGCCACACGTGTTTGCAGGCCCTGCTGTATTCCTGCTGTCACATGGTTCTGATCACCACCACCATCTCCCAGCTGGGTTGTGCAGGTGGGTGGGATAGCACGGGAGGCTCTGGGGTCTGTATCTTCCTTCCTAACCAGTCTTGAAGAAGCCAGCTGAGCACTCAGCACTGGGCCAGTATAGTGCCTCAGCCCCTTGGGCTGCTGGCTACCGAAGTCTGGCAAGGTCAGGGCAGTGTCACTGTTTCCCTGGTTCTTGCTCAGGATTCTGCTCTCCAGGAAAGAACTCTGGGGAGTGGAGCCAGGGACCTAGTTCTGCTCCTGCTGCTTTTCTTGGCTCCATCCATGGCCTCTGGCCGGTCACTCTGCCCTCTTGGGGCCTCAGTTTTTTGCCTGTAAACTAAATTGGCTGCTGATCCTGGAGGGGACTCCAAGCCCTGCGTGCTGTGATCCTGTCATGCCTGGGGGAAGCCTCCTCCCCTCCCCATCCAGCCCTGGCCCCACCCAACCACCCACCTGGCCCAGCCAGAGTGAGGGGGCGGCTAGCCTGCAGTCTCCATGGGGACTAATCTCCAAGAAGGTCATTGAGGCTCTGGTGCTGCCCTGGCTGGATGAGGATTAGCACCTGGGTATGAACTGTACCTACCCCCCAAGTCCCACAAACACTGGGCAGCCTCCAAGCCAGAAGTCTCAAGCCTCAACCAGAATCAGGGTGTGGGTGGGAGCAGGGCAGCTGCCCCAGATGTTGATGTGTCCAACTATGGCCAAGAAGGGACAGATGGAGTAAGACCGTTGCCACGCACAGTCCTTGGTGTCCAGCTACGATCTAGGGCTTGTCCTTTTTCACCTTCTGACCTACTCCTGGGAGGGCAGTGGGCTCCCTGTGCAGATACATGACCAACCACCCCTACCCCAGCCCTGGCTGTCCCCATTTGCAGCTCACCTCTATCTGTTGAGGGTCATTTCTGCGCCCCAAGTGGTCCCACTGCCTCCACACACCTGGTGTCTTCCACTGCTGATGGCCGAGCCTCTAACCTCCTGTTTTCCCTCACTGTTCCTCTTTCCTGTGTTCTCCATCTGCCTTCATTGAATGATGTGTGCGTGTGTGTGGGAAGGTGGATCACCATCTCCTTGTGCTTTTCACATGGCTCTGGGTTATGCCCTGTCTGTAATTTCTAGTGGTGCTCTTGGCCCCTTTCCCTCCCCCATTTTCCTGCCCCCCCATCTGTGGCACCCCAACTGCTCAGTCCCTTTTCCTCTTCCCCACTACCTGTGCCCTCCTCCAGCGGGTGCTGACAGGGATGACAGGAAGCAGGCGCTGGCTCAGAGGGCGGGGGATGGGCCACCCGCACACCAGCTGCTGAGCCCCCCCAGCCCAGCACCTGCAGGCTGCCAGGCGCCTGGAGACTCCACCCAGTCCAGCAGGGGAGGAGGGACTTGGAGGAGAGGCCATGTCCCCATATAATAGCCAGGGAATGTGGGTCTCAAGATGAGAAGGGGGTGGAAGTCTGGGGAAATCAGGCCTTGGTGGGGGCAGTAGTCTCCACCATCAGGGCAGACCCCAGCACTATCAACAGCCTAATTCTTCTTGTCACTCTCCCTCCAAAGAATACCCCTATGTGTGTTGGGGGAGTATTCCAAGGGGAGAACTTTTGTGGTATGGCCCCAGGATTGGATATCCCAGTCCCTGCCATCACTGGGGGAGGAGAGGGGACATCCTTGAAGACATAGAAAAGGAGCGTCCAGCTGCGCCAGGCCTCAGACAGGTAAATCATTCAGTGCCAGGCAAGCAGGAAGGGCTGGGCCCAAGGACAGAAGACTGTCCAGGGAGGCCAAGGTGGGGGCTACAGCACAGCCAGTGGAGACCATCAGCTTTCTCTGCCTCCAGGGCTGCCCCCTGCAGTGCACCCTCTCCCCAGATCTGTCAGAGCCATCTCACCTTCCCTCTCCTCCTGGGGTAGGGACTCAGCACATCCTTGAGGTGCCTCAAAGAACCTGGGCGGCAGGGAGAAATGAAGCGAGTAATGGAGGAGGGGACCAGAAGTCCCAGGACTTCTCACTCTGTTTGGAGTGTCTTCTGACTCTGGGAGCTGTCTCCCTTCACCTGGCTGAGTGTTTGACGCACCCTCCTCCTGAGGGAGAACTCTGGCTCCTTCCTGCTGTCCAAGGAGACTTCTGCCACCCGTCACCTTCTGACCTACAACCAACTGGCCCTGGGTGCTCTGGAGCTGGCTCAGTGTCACCATACCCCCTGGGGAGGGGGAATGAAGGACACCTAGAGTCACCTGACCCAGGCCTTGCGTGGAGCCCTGAGTTCTAAGTTCTTTACACAGGAGGCCAGGGCCTGGGGCGATCTTTGTCTCCCTTCCCACAGGTCAGATCACAGTCCTTGGACTGGCCTGTCCTAAGTTTGGGTTGTGGCTAATGATCCGTGGGCACCACCTGTGGTGGGAGTTCCTCAGCCCCAGTCTACCCAGCAGGGTGAATAGAGGAGGTGTGGGTTGTGGGGTTTGGTACTGCTGTGTCTGGGGACGCTGTGTTTGTCTTTTTTGATCAGTCTCACACACGATGAACTAAAAGAGCGGCCAGGGAGGTGCAAGAAGTGAAATTTCAGGGTATCAGCAGCCCCAAAGAGATCAGGAGTGGTGATGTGTCTCCATCAGCTCATCCCAGATTTTCCACACCTCAGAGATTTGGCTCCTATGCTTGGAGGACTTCCATCTTCTCATATAGGGCTCAAAGAGATGCTTAGAAGCTCAGGGACCAGGATCAGGAGGCAGGGGTGGCCCTCACCCCTGTGGGGGACCAGCCCAACCCTCTCACTGTGCCAATGGGAAGTCCCAGAGATTGGGAAATGACTTGCCCAAGGCCACAGAAGTCGCTGGAACAGAGCCGGACTAGAAGCTGGGTTTCCACCTCCAGAATGAAATCTGTTCAGACCACGACCCCCTCTGCCACCCGCCGCCCGCTGGAGCCTGCTGAGCCCGCATTACCCAGAGTCTAGCCAGGCAGCTCAGAATCTGCGGGCGGGACCAGCCCGCCGGCTGGGAGCCAGATCTGCCCCTAGCAGTGCACAGACTCTGCGACCCATATGGTGGAAATCGTGGCGCTGGCGGCAGGCAGGTGTCTGCGTGGCGATCCGGCCGGCCCCGGGGCTGGTGCTGAGAGGCCGCCCCTGCCTCACGCGAGCCGAACGAACAAAACGCTCAGGTCCGGTTTGTGCGAGGGGCTCGTCGCGGGGCGGGAACGGAGGGCCCGGGGCCTGGCGATGGCCCTCGAGATCTGGTCCTGGTCTTCTGTCTGCGCCGTGTGACTGCGACCCGCCGGCCGCCGCCCTCACCTGCGCACCCCTGAGGTTGACACGTCGGCTGCGCAGCGCTGAGGCCGGCACAGGTGCGCGCAGCCGCCCCACCCCCTCCCTGCCACCTCCGCCCGGCTCTCCTGGTCTTGCGCCCCGCCTGGCCCTGCCTGGCTCCATCCCCAACCCACGCCCGGGAGCCAGTGCCCGAGCCCGAGCTCAGCACACTCTTATACCACTGGTTCAGTCCCCGCCCCTACACACACACACACACACACACACACACACACACACACACACACACACCTGTCCAGGCGCCCGTTTGCTCGGGGCAAATATTGACTCATGGAGGCGGAGCGCTTTCTTCCCTCCCCCGCCCGACTCGGAGACCGGAGCTCCTCGGAGGCCTCAGCGGCGAGGGCGGAGGGGAGGGTGCCGGGGACCTGGGCGCCTCTGGAACAACACCAGATGTCACTTTTCCACCCACCTGCTTCTGGGCTGGGAGGAGCTGAGAGCGCAGGGCTGCGGGTGGGAGTAGGGGGCCTCAGAGGTGAGAGTCCTAGAGAAGGGACAACTTGACGGGAAGGAGTCACACCAAGAACTGCTTAGTAGGGTCTGTGGCTCGCTGCCTACTGGTGACTTCAAGCAGTGCCTGGAAACCTAGTTCTGTGCCCTTTGCGGCGTGCCTCAGTTTCCCTTCCTTTCAGGTCTCTCAGCAGAGCTCCGGGAGCCCAACAAATGGTAAAATGCTGGCCCTCTTCGGGTGCTGAGTCTCGGGGCAGACGCACAAGGCAATGAGAAGAGGTGCCCTCCCTGCCCCTTGGCCACCTGCTAGTTAACCGTGCCTGGCAGTGTTTCTACCAACCTACACTTAGAGCGCCCTCCCCTGGCCAGGCCGGGCTCATCCCCGCTCCTCCCAGTGACCAGGGAGAACTCGCGCCCAACTGAGCTGTGTATGTGTGAGGGCGCACCCCCAGCGCCTGCGAGGTCACCGCCATCCATCCTGGCCACCCTACTTTCCCCGAGGCTCAGAGCGGAGCAGGCGCTGCCCCCAGTGGCAGAGAAAGGCTAGGCAGACAAGCAAAATGCTAGATGCTTTACTGGCGGGGAGGTGGAGAAGGCTCAGGCAGAATCCAGGGCGGCAGGCCAGAGGGGCTGTGCACCGGCATCAGCAAAGAGTAAGTACTACGTGGACCCAGCGGGTCGGGCACCGCTGCCTGCTGGATCCGCGGCAGCGGAAGTGGGGTCGGAGTCCTGGAAGACAAGAAGGTCCAAGGTGGGGAAGGCTGCCTGCTGTGCTGCCCTCTTCCGTGAGGCCGGGTGCCCCCACCTGGGCGTGCTGAAAGGCGGCAGGGCGATAATGCGGGGCCGCGAGGTGAGCACCACCTCTCCACGGCTCGCCTCCACCAGGATGTTTCGGATCATGTTCTCCAGCAGCTCCTCCCGAAGGTTGGCAAAGGAGGGTAGCCTGCAAGGGGCAGGAGTCGCGAGCGTGAGCGAGGCCGTAGATCTGCGTGCACGCGGGCTGTCGCTCCCTGCTCTGCGCGCACCGCACTGGGTGCCACTGGCTAGTTACAGACTCAGGAACTCCCTGCCCCTTCCCCCAACACTATGGCATCCCGTTCCAATTACACAGATGCTCCGTGTGCGGCTAAAAGAGACCAAGTTGTAAGAGACTGGCTGCAAGAGCCCGGTAAAATCCATGAGCATCACACCCAGTCACTAGAGGTGGCATCACAAAGTCAGGTTTGGACAAAGGCAGTGATGAGAGGATGCAGAAGGGACTTCATGGGGCCTAGGAAGTCCCCAGAAAGGACAGAGTGCATCCTCAGGGGGAAACAGAGCCAGAAATGGTCCTTTTTCAAACTTTGCCCACTGTCGCTAGGTTCCTCACACCCACTCTTGCAGGAGAAAACAAAGCTCAGCATTCCGCAAATACTACCCCTCAGGCCAGAGGCTACCCTGCTTACACATTGCCAAACCTGAGCTAGGAAGAATCAGGCAGCCACCAGCTCAAGTTCTATTGAATGCTTGGGACCTTCTGCACACAGCCTCCTGCCCAGCCTTCCCTGGCCGGACTGCTCACCTGCCAATGGCTTCCTTCTCATCCTTACGCTGCTCCTCCTCCTCCATGACTGTCAGGTCTTGCTGCCACTGCCACTGCTGGGACTGCTGGGAACTGGGCTGGGTCTGTGATGCAGGCTCGGTCCCTGACCCAGTCATTTTCCTGTCCTTCCTCTCTGTCACCTTCTCCTCCTCCTCTTCTTCCTCCTCTTCCATGCTCAACTCTTCTTCCTCCTCACTCTCTTCTTCCTCATTTAGCCCCTCCAGCTCCCCCTCTTCCTTCTCACCCTTCTCCTCTTTCCCCCTATCCTGCTTCCGGGATCTGTGTTTATCCTCCTGCTCTTCGCTTTTCCGGTGCCCTGAGCTGCTGGAGGGCAGAGTTGGCAGTAAGTACAAGCTGTTCTGGGCCATGAACTTGGCTGGCTGCTCATTCCAGAACTGGCAGAAGTAAGGCACCTGCTCCACCAGATTTTGGTCCACAGCCTCGTGGAAGTTCTTGTCTTCTAGCAGGCCTCTGCGTGGTAGGAGGAGGAGATGGGCCTCACTCTGGGGCTTGCAGGCCCTGGAGAGCCCTGGCCTTGGAGCTTTCTGAAGGAAGTCCTTGCTTACTGTTTTCACAAACTAGGGAGCAGCCAGATGGTTGCCCCCTTCTTCCATTCTTTGGGAAAAGGCATATTTGGGCCCCATGGATTCTTAGAGGTGAACAGGGTATGGAAAAGAAGGTAGAGCTGGCAGGTCCAAATGACACAGAGAAGGGCTGGGGCCCCAGGAGAGACAGGGGATGAGTCCAGTTCTCAACTACTAGCCAGGGACCAGGCAGAGCCCAGGTCTCAGTCCCAAGGATCTCTCTATCAGTTTCATTAAAGCTATACTGTCTTTGGCCTAACCCCAGTAGAAGGGCTTTGCAAGGGAGTTCTCCTTCTCCAGAAAGAATGTTCTGGAGCTTAAGGGGCCTTGGTCACTGAGCTGGAGAGATAAGAGGGCAAGGATGAGGACTGGGAGAGTGGGTGGCACCTGATAATGGCGGTGAGGCAGTCCACCAGGAGTTGCTTCTTCTGCTTGGAAACTGGGTTCCCCTCACTGTTAGGGAAGTCTTCCTCAGAAGCCTCTGGCTCTTCCCTGGGGGTCCTCTTGGGCAGATCCCTGGGGTAGGGCATGATACTCTGAGTGGCTGGCGAGCCACCATGCTGGGGTGGGGGATACAGACCACAGTGCTAGCTATCCAGCCATGGGACATAAATATGTTGGGAGCCTCATAACCAGTCTTAATGCAAATGCAGTGCTACTGCATTCAGGAAACCAGCTCAGCCCTCAGGTCAGTGCAGAACCTAAAGAGGCCCTGAGGTGGCAGTAGTGAAGGGAGTGGGAGGAGGCCTATGTGTTTGTCCCGAGGAGGCACTGGCCTCACGAGGGCCTAAGCAATATGTAGGCAATTTAGGCCAATCAGTGCTCTGTGAGTCTCCCTGCCCCTGCCCCTGCTCTACCCACGATGAAGGCAGCCCCTACTCAACAATGAGGGGACTGACACAAGAGAATGGAGACCCCTGACTCCCCAAGACTTCACCAGTGCAAGAAGTGACGGGGAAACTCCGAGAAGAAGTTGGCCACGAAGAAGTCAGTGGCATGGGCTCTGGCAGTGAGGCCCAGGCTGAGCATGTCTGGCATGGGTGGCTGAGGGCATGGCCAGGATGGCTCTTCCTTTGTGATCTGAAGATCCCAGCTGGCTGGCTGCCTGAGAGATTGCTGGCTCATGATGGGAGGCAGCGTCTTTGGGAAAGGGGTAGAGGCATGGATGACAGGGGCTGGGGGACCACACTCTCCTCCTGGATGGATTCTTTGGCCCAACCCTTAACCAGACCTTTTGGGGTACATGCAGTATGGTTTTATGACCCTTGGCACCTTCACCCTCCCTTCTAGGAGGCAGGACCAGAAGTTGGAGGTATCCCTGGGAACAAGCAGGATGCTCTCAAGTTATCCAAGAAGATGTGCCCGAGGCTCATGACCTCACCTTGTACCTCCTCACAGGGTCACAGGCTGTGCAATATGCTCTCCTCTGTGGAAGCAGAGAAACCCTTACTGAAGATGCAGGAGCTTTGGTCCATATCCACCCTTCCATCCCCTCTCCCTGGTACATAGAGGGCCAGAAACCAGTTCCAGTTCTAAGCCCTCTTGCCTGCTTCCTAGCCACCCCCTATTCCAGAACCTTCCATGGGAAAGCACTTCTTGAAGAGAGAGACAATGTTGTTACTCAAGTGAAGGAAAGAGAAGAAAGTGCCACCAGATGTGAGCAGGATGGCATTACATGAGACAAGGAAGTAGACTGCAAATCCTTCCTCTGTCCTGTCTCATTCTCCTAGGAAGGGATTTGTGTTCAACCTGCCAGAGCTCAGAGACAGCAGAGCCTCTCCAGAAGCTCAGTGTAGTAGACATAGAGGTGACTAAGGGCAGAAACACCAGAATGGGAACGCTGTGACATTGGGGAGGCACCAAGATAGGAATTTTGTGTTTACTATTGGATCCGCCCATAGCCCATGTTTAGGGGACTCTCACCCAGTGGAGGGCTTTGTTGTAGCCCATCTACAAAGCAGATTATTTCACTTACTTTAAAAATATTTTTAATCTTTTGTTTACAAAAGGGGAAAAATGACACAAAGAATCTTTCACTGCCTGGTCACTCAGCTTTAACCATTAGGAACCTATAACCAACTTGCCCCACCTGTCCTCCACCTCGGGATTGTCCTGAAGCAAATAGCAAGTTCCTGTCATCCTCACTTCACTGAGCTAATATTGAGAAGAGTCTGGAGTCAATCCAGGAGCGACTGGTTTCCAGTGCCCACACCTGAAGCAACTATAGCATAGTGCCCGTCATCAGAAGGGGAGTCATCTGGTTGCTTCCTGTGACCCCCATGCCCACTCATGGAATCCTGGCTGCATGAAGCAGGGAGTGCTAGGCAGATTTTTCCACCCTGCAGGCAAGAGGGCTTGGAACTAGAGGGCTGTGAAGGTACTCTGAGCCCAGTGGATGGGATCTAAGCTTTTAGGGCAGTTTTGCGTGAAGGGCCACCTCAGTTCACTGCCTCTGTCCCCCAAGCGTGCGAGGCCCACCGAGCCTTCCTCACCTCCACTTTCTTGTCTGTGATGGTGAACTCCACCTCCTGCCGCACCTTCTCATCCTGCCACTCCTGAAGTTCCTTGTGGTACTGTCTCATGAGTTCCTGCCGGTACAGCTGGCCCAGTGCAAGCCCAGAGTAGGCCCAGGTCTGCAGGGTCTCTGCTAGGACTTGACCTGGGCCTGTGCTGTGGGTGCCCACCCTCCCAATGGCTAGTGCCTGCCTTTCTGGGGGTCTGTGGGTCTCGAAGCCTCCCCTTCCTGGGGCTGGAAGCTGTGCCCCTCCTACTTCTCTCTGTGGCTGGTTCCTACCTTGCATACCAGGTCCACGCTATAGAAGCTGGCATGCACCGAGGCCTTCAGAGTCACCACAAAGGGGACTGTTTCTTCAGGAGCCACCTCTCCTACCATGGGACTCACCGATACCTGATAATTTGGAAAAGAAGCTTCTGGAGTTTTTCAGGGATGAGATTGTGTGGGATAGGATGAGACAAGATGGAATGGGATGAGATGAGGTAGGACAGGTTGGCATGCAATGAGATGGGACGTCCCTGGTGGGATGAGTCTGGGTCCCTTCTGATTTTGTGGGCACAAGGACTCCCACCTCTCCAAAGTCTAGAGGCCTTGACTGCCAGGCAAAAACGACAGTCTCATTTTTGGAGATGTTGTTGAGGAAGAGGAGGCGGCTGCACTTGCTCTGCACAGGGATGTTTCCCAGGGAGATATGAGACTGGGACAGGAAGACATTCTGCCAGAAGAGACAACAGCAACTTTAGGAGGTAAAGAAGTAATAACCACATATCCACTACTGATTATTGAGCACTGTCGACAGTCCAGGTACTGTGTTGGGTGCTCCCCATGCATCTTACCCTCACAGTGGCCCTATGACATAGGTACTATGTCACAGCCTTCCACTGTGCTCACGCTGGATAAGGAGGGTCTGAGTGGAAGGGAGGGCACAGTGATTGGATGGATGATCCATATCTGGCTGGCTGCTTGGCTGAGTACAAATGGCAACTGAGTAGATGGCTAGATTGATGAATGCAAGGACGGGTAGGCAGATGAATGGCTGGATGAATGAATGGATTAGACTTCCCAACAGTGAGAAGCATGAACTAAAAGAGTATTTTGAACTTTGATATCTTTCAGCTAAATCCATCTAGGTAGAAAAATAGTAACTGGGATAATAACTACTAAGGCTTCTTTCCAAACTTACAACACCCCTATTTCTAGCCCCAGAGGAAAGGTTGGATTGAGGCCCTGTGGAAGGCAGAGCGACCTCGGTAGGAACACATGTGGGCACTAGGTGGCAGGGTAAGCCTCTCCTAAGCCTCTCACGGAGCTGGTGCTCCCTGCAACCCTGGAGGAAGGCTGGTTCCAGGCCTCACTCCTACATCCCTTCCTCCCCCAACCCCATCTCGTTTCCTCCCCAGTCTTCCCATCCCTCCATACTGGGGAGGAAATGAGACTGCACTCTGTCCATGGGGTCCCAAGGCCATGTTCAAAGCCTCAGGCTTTTCTAGTTCCTTCTTCCCTAACCTGTTCAGGAATCATCAGCCTAGAGCATATGGAGCTGTTGTCCCATGAGGAGATGTTGTGGAAAGGGGCTGTGTCCCCCATGACATGGGGGTCATAGCCCACTCCCTGGAACTGGATGAGAGCTGAGTTCCATCCCACGATGTGTATGGGCACATCTACCTGGGAAGTCAGGACGGTGGAGGGGGGGACAGTTAGAGCAAGGCCTGGCAAGGAAGTTGTCACCCCAATCCTCACCCTGATTACCCAGGCTGCTGCTTACTGTGTAGGTCTTGGCCTCGATGGGTGAAAAGATCCATAAGATCTGAGCAGTGGTGCCTGGCTGGATCTCCCCTTTGGGATTGAGACAGCAGAAGATGGGGTGATCAAAATTTTTTTCCTGAATGTGTGACAGAATGCTGGTCTGGACCTCGTATGTCACAGGCACCGAGCCACCATTGTACAGCTCATAAATCTGCAGGGGAGAGGACAGAATAGAGAGGTCTCCACATCCATCCAGGACTGCAGACCAGAGAGCCCAAGATGTTATGTGTCAGACGGGTTACACTCCATGATGTCACCCTGAGAACTGCGGAGCTCCTCTACAGACCTGATGGATTGACATGTACAAGGGATGCAGTGGCAGAGTCAGCTGTGACATTTTAGGTTAACTTGTAATCCTATTTGTAAAGACACATCTTACATTATTTGCCTTCAATTTACCTTTGTCAAGTTATAAGGGGACCCTAGTGTGAGTGTCCCTAGTGTTAGTGCCCCTGTAAAAGCCCAAAGGAGCCCATTGGCTTCCTCCACCATATGAGGACACAATAAGAAAGTGCTATCTATGTGCCAGGAGGATGAGCCCTGACCCTGCACCTGCCTAGCCCTTCCTCTTGGAACTCCCAGCCTTTAGAATTGTAAGAAAGGAATTTCTGTTCTTTATAAGCCACTCTGTCTATGGTAACATGTTACAGCAGCCAGATGGGCAGACCACTGCATCCAACCTCTACTGAAAGATCTCTTGCTTGTCTCATGGGCATCTCAATCTTGGCCAAAACCAAATTCTTCACATGAAACCTATTGTCCTCCACCCTGCTGATCCCCCACTTATCTCATTTCTGTGAATGGAACTACCTGTCCCCTGTAGCTCAAACTCAGCTGTTTCTGTCCTGGCCTTGAATGAGACTGCTGGCAGGCTGATGGAGTGGCAAACGGTGCATGGATCTGAAGAGAGCGCAGGGCTGGGAGATGCCCTGTCAGGAGCAGGAGGCCTTTCTTTGGCCTTCAGAGTAAAATAGCTAGAGACCCCTGCCCAGAGTCATAGGGGGCTTCTACATGGGTAGAGATATCACAGCTGTGAAAATTTTTCCAAACACCATTACATCTACTTCTTGGAGAGTTTCAACATACATTTTCAGTGCAAAGGTACCAGAGTCCCTCCAACCAATAAGGAAAGAAAAGTCCACAATTCCCAGGGATCCACATCTGGGTCTGTCATATGTCCTCAGATCTGTGACCTCCAAACTGTGGCTTGGACTCATTACTGAGCATTCTGCATCAGTTTAGTGGGTCATATCTAGCATTTTTAAAAAATGGAACAGAATAAAATAAAAAAGACATCGGCATTTTTTGCATGTGATAGCCTAGGTATATATATTTGTGATATTTCTGCTTTGGTTGTAAATGAGTATAAATAGTGCCAAATGAGCATACATAAATATAAAATGTATTAGTATGGCTCCTGGTCAAACAGGTTTGAAAAGCCTTGGGCTAGAAGAGAAAAATCACCCACTTTTGCATGAGAACTGAATCCGATAAAGATCTTAGTTTCAGGTACCAGGAAACTGAAGCCTCTTCCCTTGGGTCTCCCCAGTTGCCCAGTGCTAGGGTTCAACCTGACAACTGCACCTTGTTGGGAGGGCAGCGTCTTTGTTACTCTGTCAAGAGAGTAGTGATCAGCACTTAGCCCTCTTGGCAACCGGGACCATCTGGACCACTGACCTGCCGTGGGGGTAGTGTGTCACCGATGGGGACAGGGATGAACTGGTGGGTAGTGGAGGTGAAGTGCACGTACTTCTGCTCCAGCTTCACTGTGACACCTATGAAATTTAGCTGGAAATAAAAAGCCCATGGGTAGCATCCTTCGTCAGGGGAAGTGGCCTACACAGCAGAGACCTGGATCCCACCTTCCCAGGGACCACTGTTCTGTGCTCCTTTTGGTTGTCCTGCGAGCCCACCCTCCAGCCTGAGACTGAGGGCAGCACCAGAGTGCTGGGGCCTCACCAAGATCTCCCGGCCATGGGACACCTTGAAGAGCACGGGGAGGCGATCTGTGCCGATGAACAGGTGGCTGGAAGGGAGGAGACACACCCAGAAGTGAGCTTTGAGGCCTGGTGCAAGTGGGAGAACAAATGGACTTGGCGTGCCTGGGGCTTAGAGTCACCTAGCCCCTTGGAGCAGCTCACCCGAGTTGGGGCTGGACAAGAAGGACCTTAGGCGCCCCCTGGGGGTGGAAAGGGTGTTCTCTGAGAGGCGTGGTCGTTCAAAGTGCTCAGGAGTTCAGCAGGGAAAGGCCAGGGTAAGGGCCGCTCCCCCACCCAAGAGCAGAAGTAGGGGTAGGGGTAGGGGGCACCTGTATTTGAACTCCACAATCTGCTCCTGCCCAGGGCTCAGGCTCCCAGACTTGGGGCTGATGGAGAAGATGCAATTGTCCTCTATGCGCATCTGGTGGAGCTCAGTGCAGTCAAACTCTATTTGTTCTGCCCACAGCTCCAAGCCAATTTTCTGGTCACTTGGAAAGAGAAAGGCCCTGGAGAGGGGTGCGGAGGAAGCAGTGAGTGATGTGCAAAGAGCAGGTCAGTCTGGACAGAGGGTCGGGGAACGCTGAGCCCTGAGCCCCGCAGGACAAATGGAGACTCCCTCGCTCCTCCTGTGTGCCATCCCCCATCTGACAGGCTGTCCCATGCCTGGCTGAGCAGATGTGGCTGGTACAGATTATCATTTCCTAATCACCCCCAAACGTGGGAATAGAAGCAGGGCCACAGTGGCTAAAGGAGCAGGGAAGATTGGGGGTCCCACTGTGGGTCAGCTGCTTGCATATGCAGGCCGTTGAAAGCACGATGCAAGCCCATCTTCTCTCTAGCTCTTAGGAAGGTGCCTGGTAAGGCCCCTGAATACTGGCAGCTTACCTTGAGGCCCCAAGTTGGGACAGCCCACTTGGACAGAGGATAGGTACCCAGCAGGGATGGTGTGCTTGTTTTTTGTGGTATTAGAGATTAAATTCAGGGCCTCCATAATAAGCTACCTCCCCAGTCCTTCTTTATTTTGAAATAGTCTCAACCAATTTGACCAGGCTAGGCTCGATATTGCACTCCTTCCACCTCAGTCTCCCTGAATGCTGGGCAAGCACACTATGTCCAACTAGGGCTGGCACTGTGGCGACAAGCAAAGATGTACAGAGTAAATGCCCTGGAAGTGCCTCATACTAAAGGAAAGTAGATAATGCCTTCAAGCTGATGAAACTAGTGATGGAGCGCCCTGAGGTTGGAGTCTGACAGGAGCATCCTTCGCTCTCAGAGAGATGGCAAGGAACTGGCTCTAGCAGCGAACCAGGCCAACAACGTAGGCAGAGAACAGTACAGAAAAGGAAAGGAGATCCTGCCAAGCAGGAAGAGGAAGGAATAAGTGGAAGGTGGGCAGAAAATGTCTATCATATCTCTGGGAAACATTAACGGGAAACAGGGAAGCACAAACCAAAGCTCTCTCCTGAGGAATCGGTCTCAAATGTTTTCACATTGGAAATATTGAAGATAGATTACATCCAATGCTGCTAAGTTTTAAAAGAACAGAAACCCGAAATATACAAAGACAAGCAAGAAGGAGGGAAATGCTTAACATTTTGGAAGGAATTTTAGAAGCATCTGTTAGAAGAAAAATCTATCTGCCCTTGGACCTAAAAATCCCATTTTGGGGAGTTAAGCTACAGAAATAAAAGCATGCGCACACACGCACACACACATGCACACACACAAAAAATATTCATTATAATGTTTTTGTTTGTTGAGCAGTGACAAAAAAATGCAACTAGGAACTGCTCGATCTTCTAATGAGAGATTTAATAGCTCAAGTGATTATCTACAGAACAGAACAGAACACTATGCAACTGTTAAAAAGAATGAGCTAGGCCTCTGGGTATTGACCTGGAGGGGGAAACGTGTCCTTCTGCCTGCGTGCTGTGCACATGCTGACAGTGCCAGGCCCCATCCAAGCCCTCAACGCTCAGCAGTGGGCTTCCACAGGCAGAGGGCATTTCTTACTTTCTTTCCATCATCCCTGTAGCATTTGACTTGCTGTGGTTCAGTAAATTACTTCTATCATTTTATTTGAGGGCTAACGATCAGCAGAAAAATTGGAGACTGCTGTTTGGGGGTCCACGTAGCCTGCTCGTAACACACCGGCAGCACAGTCGTCAGTGATTGTGTGCCAGGAATTCTCCACCCACGTCCGTTTGCTGAAAATAAGTTCCAGCTGAGATCATGAGCTAGCTGGATGTCTTTAGTACAACCACACGATGGACATATTGAATTGTAAAATAATATTAATATATAATAAGATACATATTATTGACATTGATACTTAAAATTATAGTATAAATTATAGTTAAATATTTGTAAATACCTAGGTGGGCCACTTTTTTTTTTTTGTATTTTAGGGAAGGGTCTACAGGGTGTTCAGGGTCTCACTACTAGACTGGATTCTAGTGATCCACCTGTTTACAGCTTCCCAAGAGCTGGGATTACAGGTGTGCACTACTACGCCCAGTCTCAATTGCTGTCTCAGTGCACCCCTGGAGCAGAGCCGGTGCAGCAGGCTCAGGGATCAAACCACCAGCCCCTGTGCCTGCTTGCAGGCGCTTTAATCCTAAGTGGGCCACTTTGGCCAAGAGTTAATTTCCTATGTAAATGGATGAACTTGGGACTTACTGCCAAATGACCAACTGGAGTACAGATACAATGTGGGAATAAGGTGCACACTGCACACTGGACAGATGATGTAGTGGGTCCAGTGTGAGTCTTCATAGTTCAGTATGGTGTATGTTGTGATGGACACATTTAACATACTCATGTGAAGTAAAGAAACATTTTCTGAATTTTGGTGCCTCCAATTTTTCATTGCTTTAGTGTGGACCATCTTTTTTTTTTTTTTTTTTTTAAAGACAAGGCCTTGTTGTGAAGTTCAGGCTGGCCTTGAACTCACTCTGTCACCCAGGCTAGCCCAAACTCATGGTGATCCTCCTGCCTCAGCCTTCTACACCCAGATTTAGACCATCATTCTTAACTGGCGCCATTTTTGTGAGCACTCCTGTCTCATAACTCTTCAGTTAACACCTGATTTAGTGTAACTTTGTGAAACCCAGCCTGCAAGAGGTGGTGACCTGGGTGGAGAGCTCCTGAGACACAATCACTGGCAGCTGTGTTGCCGATGCCTCCAGAGCAGGCTACGTAGACAAACAGCACTCACTGAAGAGCTCTGTTGCTGGATGTGAGAGACTGGAGCTAATGCTTTACAGCAAAGGACTCAAGAGCACTTCAGGCTGGAACTTGGGATTTACAGAGATATGATGATGTTCCAGAGAAGGTGACATGCCTGTATTTGAATAAATGTAATTTTTGTACATGAAATAATGTAGATTTTTTTTGTACAAGAGTAAATGAATAAATATAGGTGTTGTACATGAAAAAAAAAAAGCATAGGCTGGGGAGATAGCTCAGTGGCATAACCGCCTGCCTGGCTGATGCAAGGTCCTAAGTTCAATCCCCAATACTAGAAAAAAAAAAAAAGAAGAAAAAATATGACACCCACTGAAAATAGGCCTATTGCTTCTTTGAGAACAGAAAGGTGTATTTGGAGACAGGGTCTCACTTTGCAGCTCAGGCTGGCCACCCCTCACAGTGGTCCTCCTGGCTCAGCCTCTTGAGTGCTGGGATGACAGACATGTGCCACTACACTGGACTGGAGCAAAAATTAGTGTAAGAGCTAGTCTTACTTTCAGGGAAATAGCAGAAAGCTTGTTCCTACCTTCCTTTCTGTATGAAACCTTCCTGATGCCCTGGCCCCAATGGAACAGTGCCCTTCATGGTACACATTACCCAGCAGAGGACAGCTGCTCGGCCTTAAGCCACTGGGCCTTAGGCCGTCCATGTCTATTCTGAGGATCAACCTGAAGCCTGCCCCTCCGCAGCACCACCAGAGGCTTAGCTGGTGGAATTTTAGCCGAATAGAAAGTGCACAGGTGAACAGATGACCGTGACCAGCGCATCTGACAGGTGTTCCAGGGTCCAGCAGAGCAGAGATGCCAGCGGGAGGAGCCAATGGCTCCCTGCTCCCGGGGTGGAGCTCCCCTTCCCACTTGGGGCTCTCCCTCTGTCCTCCCAGCCAAGTCCCTGTCTGACTGGTCCTGGCAGGAATAAAGCCTGTCTGTTCTTTATGAGCTCAGCAGAGACAGGCGAGAATTTGCAAAAATAGCCTTCTCAGAAATTGAAAGGAAACCCAACCACACAGAAAGCACAGGAGAGCCAGGCCCCTCTGAACCCTGGAAGAAGCACGGCCTGCCTTCCTGTACCTGAAATGATCCCCTGCTGGCAGGCACACTGCCTAGGCTCCCTTCCGCCTCAGTTTCCAGCAGCCTGGAGCCTCTCCACAGTGTGAGCTGGATTGCTCCTACCCAAACCCAAACACACAGTGCCCATGGACCCCAGAATGCCCCACACCGCTCCAGGAGCCAGGCCAACACCCTCTGCTTGTGGGACTTGGCTCCTCGCCTGCTTTAGAGCCTGGTGAATGGTGGATCTAGAGCTCACAGAGCCAGGCCTCACTCCCCAGGTAGTAACCCTGCCAAGCTGCCACAGTGACCCTGGGCCGGAAGCCCTCGGGTACTCAGAGCCCTGCCCTTCTCAGATAGACCTGCTGCCTGAGCCAGTTTCACCATCTCACTCCTCCAGGGAGGGTGGGAGGGGCCTGGTGGAGCACACCTGGCAGTGCAGCCCCACCCTGCCTGAATCCCCCACCCTAGGCCTTCCTTGCCTCCAGCAGGCAGGTTTCCTTCACAGATGCCCCCCACCATGTGTTTCACTCCCACCTGCCCTCCCATCACACCCAGGCTGGGTACCCTCCGTCTGCACCTCTTGCAAGCCAAGCAAAATTGGAAGTCATCTAAAGGACGTTTACTTGGAAATCCAGGCGCATGGCAGAGGCAGGGAGGAGGAACAAGAACAAGTGCTGGCATGGGAACAGGATGTGGACTGGGCAGCAGCTCTGTACCCCACAGGACAAGGGTGGGGCACAGGGGAGGCGCAGCTCCAGGCCTGGCGCCCTGAGACTGAAGTGGGATCTGCCAGGCAGCCAGCACCTAGACATTCCTGGTATGCAGAAGCCCCTTGGAGCTGGCTGGCTAACCGCCTGGGCAGGGGCTTTGCAGTTGGCCGCAAAGGGGTGTGAAATAGCTGAGTGGCCTTGGCTGAGTCCTGAGCCGCTGAGCCTCAGCGGTGCCCCTGCTGGGAGCATCTGCAGACGAAAGCTGGGAAAGCACAGAGCCTGGCACAGGGCAGCAGGCTGAATAAGTGCTTCTCATTCATTCGGTCACTAAGACAGCTATTCCAGCCTTCATCAGAGCAAGTTCCCTCTGCCCTCAGTCTACTGACATGTGGGTCAGCAGAGACTGCTACTGAGTGCTCCTGGGTGACCAGCACCAGCTGAGTCTCCACACTCCTTCAGTGGGGGCCACTCCACACAGACCAAGTCTCCCATTGATAAGAGGAAATGGCTCTTCCCTGCTTCCAGCCTCTAGAGCCAAACCCAAGTCCCCTAGCAGTCCCTCCAGGCCAGCCATACCAGTCCATGGGCACCACTCCACTGTTCTTCATGGCCAGGAGCACCACGGAGGGTGGGGTCTTGAGTGGTGCTGCCCCAAAGTTGAAGTCAAGTTTCAAAGGCGTAAAGACAGGGGGAATTTGGCCCGTGCTGTATAAAGCAGAGAAATTCCTGGGCTCAGAGCATGGAATGGGGACAGAGTAGGGTTCTCCTGGAGGGGGTGGTGCTGGTGGGGACACTCCTCCCCTCACTCAAAGGTGGGAGCCAGAGAACTGGACAGTCAGAAGCAGGATGGGTCAGCTCTTCAGATCTCAAGCCAGTCCTTGCCTCTCCAGTGTCCTCCAGGAAAGGCTAAGAACTTGGGGTTCCCTCCCGCACAGAGATGGGAAGCAGCTCCGTGGACACAGCGTCGGGTTGGGGCATGGATCAACAGCTGCAGCAACATCCCCAGCAGGCCCCAGCTCACCTGTGTCGGGTAGGCACCTTGTAGGTGAGCTCAGAGGGAGTGGGGTCACATGCCAAGTAAGTATTGAGGGTGTCCAGGGAGAAGAGACGCCACAGGTGCTTCCGAGTGATGCCCTTGGCTCCGCCCAGGGGGCAGGCATCCAGGATGGAGAGTAAGGGGTACACAGCCACCAGGGAGACTTGACACAACTCCTGCTTCTCACCAAGCTTGTTATCTGGGCATATGTGTGGGAGACAGGAGGGTGCTCACCTCCCTCCCGGAGATCTGCCTCTGGCTCTGGGACACTCCCACAAGCAGCTGACCCTTGCCTGAGATTTTCATAGCACTTTCCCACGTACTTGGCACACATTCATTGTGCACTGTTGTTTTCAAAACTAATTTTCAGTAACAGCTTTATCAAGGTGTAATTTATCTACTGTAAAATCTACCCTTTTAGCACATACAATCCAGTGATTCTGGCATACTCACTGTGCAACCCTCACCATTATCTAATTTTAGCAAGTTTCCATCACCTGCAGAAGACAGCCAGTGCTAATTAGCCGCCACTCCCCACACCCCTCTTCCTCTCCTGGCAGCTGCCCTTCTACTTTCTGCAGGCCTGTTTTTGTCTATTCTAGATGTTTTATGCAAATGAAAACACTCAGTATGTGGCTTTTGTCACTGGCTCCTTTTACTTAGCATTGTTTTCCAGCTTCCTCTAGGTGACAGCACATATCACTATTTCATGTCTTTCTGTGGCCCGTGTGCCACTGCTGTCCCCATTTTATGAGGAAACTGAAGCTCAGGGAGGTGAGGCAACTTGCTAAAACTACACGACTGCTAAATGTTGTAGCCAGGATCCAACCCCACTGAGGCAGCATTCTTCTGGGTCCTCCTCTCCTTCCTGCTTGCCATAGGGCAAGGCTAATAGCAATTCCATTGGATGGGGGAGAAAACTGAGGCCCAGCTAGGCTGAGGATCTAAGATCCCACTGGGAATCAGCACGTTCCCTGACCCTTCCTGCTGAGGTTTGTGCAGCTCAGGTACACACGTGTATGGACTCAGACAGGCAGACACCCAGAGGCACAGCCTGGCACAGCCCCATTCACTGTGCCCCGCCCCCGCCCCACACAGCTCCTCCCCTTCCCCTTGCCTTCCTGGCCCTGGCTTCTCCATGCTGAGCACCCAGGTACCTTTGTGAGATAGGAGAGAGTAGCTGATAGTCCAGGAGTACTGGCACTTGTGCCTGGGGCAGGCAGTCAGGCTGACGGTGTCTCGACAGTGAGGCGGCACGCTCCCCTCGGAACGGTCCAGCTGCAGAGCTGCTCAGGGGTGGCGCAGGTAGGGTGAGCAGGGGGAGGCAGCCTGACCGCTGCTGTTCCTTCTCACATACCCTCCCTGGGCCAGCAGAAGACTGGCCTGAGCCCGGAAGTGGAGCAGAACCCTCCTCCCAGGCTGGGGCAGAGATCACACTTTTTTTTTTTTTTTTTAAATGCATTTAGTACAGGGGATACAGGGTCTATAGGGTCTCACTAAGTAGATCGGACTCATAGTACTTCTCCTATTTTCAGCCTCCCAAGCGTGGGATTACAGGCTTTCGCCACCACGTCTACTCTCAATTGCTGTCTCAGCACGCCCTGGGGGTGGGGCTGGCAAGGCCAGCCAGGGATCAAACCCTGGATGCTGCACTCTGCTTAAGCAGATACTTTATTCTACTGAGCTATCAGGTTGGCCCAAGCGATCACACTTCTTTGTGACACTTTTCTCCATCTAGCAGCCCTGTGAGGTGGGTGGATATCAACAGTAGCCCCATTCCACAGCTGAAGAAGCTGAGGCTCAGACAGTCCCAGTTATTCACCCAAGGCACACAGCTATGAAGCAGAGGCGCTAGGATTTATGTTCTGCCCAATCTGGCCCAGACCATGGTGTAGCAACCTGTCTTAAGCAACAGCCCTTTTCCCCTCACCACATTTACATATCTCCTGGGACCCAGTGCAGCTCAGGTCCGTACCAGGGGTATCATGGTCGAGGCCCTCCAGGCTGTGCTGCTCCAGGTAGAGGCGGAAGTAGAGGGTGCAGTTGCCCTCGTTCAGGAGGACCAGACTCCTGGACTGCTCGCTGCCCACCAGCACGTTCCCAAAGTCCAGCTCCTTCATCTCTGCCTGAGGCCAGAGCCAGCAGCTGCTGGAGGCTCCCCACCTCCCTCAGCCCTGCTGCCTGGTCCCATCCTCAGGGCAGCCCCCAAGCAAGGACAGGTTCAGGGGTTCAGGCAGGGGAGACAGAAGGCTCCCTCCCTTGTCCTTAGGGGTCAGGCACCCTGGGCTTTCTCCCCTCCCCCTGGACCTCCCACTCACAGAGAGGCTGCTGGTGATGCCCAAGCCCACCAGTCGGATCACATAGTGCACAGTGGCAGGGGGCTTGGCATCTGGGGGCAGGCCGGCTTCCCAGACCCACATCCCCACTTGAAACAGGTACTTGGTCTTCTCCAAAGGGCTGAAGATCCATGTCAGTGTCTGGGGGCACAGAGATGGCCGCTGCATGGGGGCCTCTGGAATGCCCCTTCCTTGGGGCTCCTGGCTGGTCAAGGTCCCATTGTAGGGCATCAAGCTTTAGTAATGTTTCCTGAGTTTCTACCCTGTACTAGGTGCTTCATGCGCATCATACATAGTGTCATCTCCCTAAGCGCCCCCATCCTGAACCTCTTGACAGGTCAGTAGCATTATTTTCAAGGCTTGTTTTGGGATGATAAACTGGAGAAGTCCAGGGACTGGCCCAGGGTCAGACAGCTGGGGAGGGCAGGAACAGGGGCCAAACGCCCAAGGCTGACACCTGAGTTGGTGCAGCCCTTCCCCCCACTACTTACTGTCCTTAGGCTTCTAGGGACACTTTGTGCTATGTGTTCTTGCTCCAAGTCTGTTGATCCCCAACTAGTCTGTAAGGCCCTAGGCCAGGGACAAGATGTACTATTCTGGGTCCCAGACTGTGTCCCCCTTCGTGCTTCAGCTGGGGACTCTGGGAACCCCCTTCTTCACTCTTTACCAAGAGCCACCTGCTTGATCCTACCCTACCACAATCTACATCTTTGGATACCATGGGTAACAGAATGTGGACATGCGCTGGGCCCTGGCACCAGAAACTCGGATCCCTTTCACAGTTCTGTACTTCTTAACCTTGATCTGAGAAAAGGGCTTTCTCCCCAAGTCTGATGGAGCCAAGGGGGTGGTGATAACAACACTTCCTCATACTTTAGGGAGGGGACCGTGGGCTGAAGGGCTGGGTGCATATCACAACCAGTGAGAGCCACGCGCGAGAGGCGGCAGAGGTGAAGGCAGGTGTCACCCTCCCTGCCCCCCAGCAGTGGGCCAGGGCACTCACAAGACTTTCGTTGGGGTGGATCAGCCCCTTGGAGGGCTGGACAGCCAGAGCCTGTTGGTACTGCTGAGAGACCCTCCATTCAAACTCCAGGGGAAGGCGTGAAGGGTTGTGGAAGGTGAAGGTGCTGGTGGAGGAGCAGCCCACCCAGGTAGGTTTGAAGAAGACACATTTGCAGATGTCCAACTTCAGCTGCAGTGGCTCCTCTCGACTCTGCAAGATCACCTCCTAGGCCAAAGAAAGGAGGGCGGTGCCTGGCCTCACCTTGTGGTCCTGCTTCCCCCCACATCCAGGAGGCCACAGGTAGGCAACTTTTCCTTTTGGAAGGGGCAGCAAAGGCCATCCTCCAACCTGGGCATGGCAGCTTCTGTCACAAGTAGACAGAACAGAACTCAGGGACTGAGAAGGGATGGACAGACCATTTCGTGGAGACATGGGTCCACTATCCAGACCTTACCCCTGAGCTTGCGCCAAATACCTCTCTCCCACCTGCAGGAGGAGTCTGGTTGTTGGTCCTATACTCCATGGGAGAGACAGGCAAGCCCCAGAGTGGTGTTGTTCACAGATGGACCAAGGGCTCTCTCCCTGGGATGCTACTTTGTGGAAGAGGAGTAGCTCCTAAAAGCCAACCCCAGATTGGAAAGTTCTGGAGAAGGATGATTCCTACTCCTGTCTCCTACCTTGAGGTACTGGGAGCCAAAATTGAACTCCAGGTAGAAAATGTGCTGCTTCCAGGAGGTGCCCTTTGGGTAGGTGCTGATGAGGAAGATCTGGTGGGCACCAGGGGCTACAAGGCCCGAGGTGGGCCGCAGGGTGATGTCTGAGCTGCTGTTGGGGGTCACGCTGAAGGTCAGCAGCATGGGGCCTTTGTTGACCAGAAGCAGACTGCGGTAGGAGGGCTTGCCAGATGATACTGCAGGAAATAGCTAGGGGTTGGAGAGAGGAGGAAGCAAGAAGGAGCTCTGCTCTGATCCCCATCCTCCAGATACACACTGGGAATGTATGTGGGCTTGGGCAGGGTTGTCTCCCAGGGGATCCAAGATGCCTGCTACAGCCCAGCTGACACCCTGGGAGCAGGGAGTTGAAAGAGGCCATAGCCTGGCCTGGATGCATCCTCCAGAGACCTCCAGAGATGGAGAGGGGGAGGCTCTGCATACTGGAAGAACACAGGCCTCCAAGGTGGGTTCTTATGGTTAGAGAGGTCCTTTCAGTCCAGAGTGCCTTTGCCCTTGGAAAAGCCATTGTCAGAGATCCAGGGCCAGTAGCTCTGGCATAGGCAGCTCCTTCTAGATGATTCTCACACAGGTCGCTAAAGGGAGCCCACCCGAATCCCAAATCCCCAACTCTCCTTGGGTACCCAGGGTGTAGCCAGCACTAGGCTGAGGCTGGGCAGACTACAAAATGCAAGGCTCACAGTCCTTCATCCATCTAGGGCAACAAATGCACATGTGTAAGTTGGCAGGGAAGCAAAACAGGCTGGAATCCATTGGATCCCAGGAAAGGGGATCCCAGGTGGCCATGGGAGAGGGACAAGGGAGTTAGTGCTGAAAACCCCAAGACTAAGGAGGATACTCTGGGGAGCTGAATACTAGGAGGTGGGGACTGAAGGGCAGAGTGCAGCTGATGGGGTGAATGGAATCACCCCAAGCCACTGTCTCAAAGTGGCACCTTCCCATCAGTAAGACCAATGAAAGGGCTGAGGATAGGGACAAAAATTGGGAGGAGGCATGGAGGCCAAACCAGAACTGGGCACTGGTGGCCTGGGCTCCAGCTCTGGGCTTCTCAGCCCATCACCTTGCTTCACTGGCCAGACCCGGCCTCCAAGGGCCTTGGCAAAAGCCTAGGAATTCTGACTCCTGAGTAGTGCGCCCCCAGGGCTCCTGGTTTGGGCTGCTATATCCCTAGAGTCTAGCTAGGATGTGATGCCTGGGGGTGCTCAATAAGCAAGGCACGAACAAATGGAGGAGCTGGAGAGTTGTAAGCTTGAGAGGGAGAGGACCAAGTGTTTCAGATGGAGCAGCGAGGGGCTGGTACCCAACTCACAGGCTTCTGTGCCAGTGCCCTGATCCAGGAGCAAGTCCCCCATTGGCTGGCAAGGATGTGAGTGTGCGGGGATGTGAGGGTACGGGGATTTGGTGTGAGGCCATTGGGAGAAGAGTGCCATGCAGGCCAAGACAGAAGCCAGGGGTTCTCCCCACCAGCTGCTGGTGGGGCCATGCTCACCTGGGGCGCATCCAGTAAGTACTGGGGAACGTGGTGCTCCAAGGCAGCACTGTAGCTGTGGCCTCGTGCCTGCACCAGCAGACACCAGGATGGACACACAGTGCAATCTTCCTTGATGTTGTTGTAGTTCTGCAGGACCTGCAGGGGGCACCCCAGGAAGAAGCTCAGGGTCTGAGTGCAAGGTGGAAGGCATCCACTCTGCCTGTCCCTACTGCTACCTCTGGGCTGCAGGTGTCCTGAGTTGGGGACAGAAAAGACAGTACTGAGAGCTGCAGCCATGGACGGTCCCTCCGGCAGCAGCCAGGGCCTGGGCTGAGCACTTGCAAACCCTCTGGATCCCCACAGCTGCCTGGGAGGAGGGAGGGCGGGATGTGAAAGCAGCATTCATTCTGTAGGAATGAGCTCGGAGACACGCTGGCCAATGGAAATATAACAGGAGCCACAAATGCTGGCCGCAAATGTGATTTTAAATGTTCCAGTGGCCACATGAAACAAGTAAAACATGTGAAATTAATTTCAACCATCTTTTATTTAACCCAATAGATTAAAAATCCTATCACTTTAACACATAATGGTTATAAAATTAGTAAGGAAATATTTCATATTCTTCTCATGTTAAGTCTTTGAAATCTGTGTATCTTTTACACCTTGCACCACATCTGTATTTGGAGCAGCCACACATCAAGTGCCCACGGGCCACATGTGGCCGGTGGCTGCCTTATCAGACAGCATAGGCCTAGTGCTATGACCTAAAACTCTGACGTGTTCAGCCTAGGCCAAGCTGGGTGTCTGTGCTTTGCTCCTATAAGCCTCCACTGGCTGCCAAAACACCAGAATGGAAGCAAGAAAAGACTCCACTTTGGAAAGCCTTTTCAAAAGCTTGGATGTGGCCTTAAACTTTAGAGGCGAGAACACCAGGGCCAGCAATGTTTAGGAACTTGCCAAGGCCACAGAGCCCATAGGTGACTGGTCTTGACTGCACAGCTCTGTCTATTCTTCTCTGGTCCAGCACCAGGCCAAGCTGGGAAGGAAAACGGGGCTACCTGGGGGACACGCAGGACCTAAGGGGTCAGGATGCCACAGGAGGGCTGGGGACAGCCTGCGTGCCGAGGTCCTGCTGACCAAAAGCAGCTGCACTAGAAAAGCCCTCACTTGATGTGACCTTGCAACCCCGCCTCTGTCCCCAGACCTGGTTCCTGCCTGCCAAGAGCTCCTTTAAAGCAGTGTCCCCAACCCTCTCGGCATAGGTTTCATGAAAGAGTCATTGTCCCATGGATGGGGATGGGGGATGGCTTTGGTGATTCAAACACAGTGCTTTTAGTGTGCACTGCACTTCTTTTATTACTACGTTACAGTATATTATTATTATGTTACAACTTGCCCTGACGCAGACTCAGTGAGAGCCCTGAGCTTATTCTTCTGCAACTGGACAGTCTCATCTGTGGGTGACAGGAGACGGTGATACCCAAAGTGTGAGGCTTATGTCCAGTCTGCACTATAACTTCATTTTGGTTGCTACCACTGCAGAAAACCCTGCTTCACCAAGATAGGATGTTGGAAATGGGAGCAGGTTGATGTTGGGTGCTTTTGTGGCAACCTTGGGAGGTGGTCCCTTGACGTTAGTTCACATACAGAGATTTATCTGCTGACTTGAACACAGTTGTCATTCTCCACTGAAGTGACAGATTGAGTTCCCTGAGCAGACTGACTACGTCATGAGCAGGTAAGTTCTGTGATCCACTCTCCCCCTGAAATGTGCTGCTAGCAGTGACTGGTTCCAAAAGAAATCTGGAGCAGCTGCCATGACTCAAATATCCTGGCCAGTATGTAACTTTAGAAAGCCATCTTATTTCTGTATATAAAGAAAGACTGTCAGGCCAGTAATCCCAGCATTTGGGAGGCTGAGGTAGGAGGATCACTGGAAGTTTGAGACCAGCCTGGGCTACAAAGTGAGTTCAAAGCCAGCCTGAACTGCATAGTGAAACTCTGTGTCAAAAAGACCACAAAAAAGTCTGTGTCAGGTGGTGGTACATGCCTGGAATCCCAGCCCTCAGGAGGCTGATGCAGAAGGGTAACTGTGAGTTTGAGGGCAGCCTGGACTACATAGTGAACTGAAGGCCAATCTGAACTATGCAGCAAGACCCTGCCTCAAAAAGCCAAAAACGAAAAAGAGAACACTCTGTTCTGCATCCATCTCCTCGAAGAATTATGTGAACAGACATGGGTTAAGGGCATAAGCTTTAATGTACTTGATAACTTTAATCTTACAAAATGTTAATTTCAGGTGAAAATTTTCAGCTATCCAGAACTTGGCTACTGATGACTGTGCTGGATTCACAGCCGGAAGCCACCTCTTTGACCTGAGTAGTGAAACCGGAAAACTCCCTAGCTGTGCTGCTGATACAAAATGACCAGTTCGCTTTCCCTGAAGTGGGATCATTCAAAGACCTGATTTGTGCAGCTTGGTTGGCAACAAAGGCGCCAATAACACATCTTCGTGCAGCTCTCCTAAAAAACCCTGCACAGGAACAAGCGCCGCTGCCTCACTCACCAACCTAGAGCGCATACCGTGGAACTCATTAAATTTTTTCTGGCAACTGTGCCTTGGTGTCTTCTGCTATGTTGCCAATTGGCCTCATTATGGTGCTAGCTGAAAGAGGAGTGGGTGCCACCTCTGGAACTGCAGTGTTTCATAAAAGGACATTCACAGCAAATGTCCTTAGCAGCAGGCAGGGTCAACTCTTCACCAACAGTAAAGGGCTCCCAGTGCACCTAGCCATAGGAAGGGTATTCTCAGTGCAGACATATTTGATGAAGTGGTAGATTTCAATAATTATGTTTATCCTTCCTGTTCCTGTTCCTGTTCCTTTCGTTTGAAGAACTCGAAAGGCTTGTCTCTTATTCCACAGTGCATGGTGCCCACCTGCCAAAGTAGCTCTGATGGTTTCGCAGCTTTGCTGGATAACTAGTCACCATACGTTATAAAAGGTGGGCTTGCTTCCACCACAGCAACCACTGAAGAGCAGCAGCCCTGGCCCTCTGCTACCCCATGGCCATGGCCCTCTGCTACCCCACAGCCCTGACCCTCAACAAGGGCCACAAGATGACTAAGAATGTGAGCAAACTGAGGCACAGCCGCCATTGCAGACGCCTCACCAAACATACCAAATTTGTGCAGGACATGGTCTGGGAGGTGTGAGGCTTTACCCCCTATGAGTGGCACACCATGGAGCTGCTCAAGGTCTCCAAGGACAAATGTGCCCTTAAGTTCATCAAGAAAAAGGTGAGGACGCACAGCTGTGCCAAGAGGAAGTGTGAGGAGCTGAGCAACGTGCTGGCCGCCATGAGGAAGGCAGCTGCCAAGAAGGACTGAGCCCCTCTGGAATAAAGCTTTGCAGAAAAAAAAAAAAAAAAAGTGGACTTGAAGAATGTGAATCACCTGCTGTAGTGACCCCATAATTTAAGTAGGACTCTTGGCATTTTCTTTTAAATGCAGATTTCCTTTTGTTGGCTGTCTTAGTCTTCTGCTAGCTCATCATTGGGTCTTCCTCCTTTCCAAAGAAGTTCTCCAGTTATGTTTGCATTTTCCTCATTTGGGTCAGGACTAGCTTGTGGGCTATCAAAACTGTGACCGACATAAGTGTGGGAAAGAGTTGTGGATGGAAGTTGCAAATAAAGTGGGCAGGTCACGTGTGGTCTAAAGTAAGTGTTGGGTTCTGACTTAAAACCCACTTCCACATGCAGCTGAACCACTGAAGTCATCAACTCGCCTCTCCACAGCCTGCCACCAGTTGCAGCTTAAATGTAACTTGCCACTCACTCTTAGGGTTTGATATGAGTCTGCAGGCAGTCGATTTACTATAACCTCTGTGCAGTCAAACTTCTCTGCTGCTGTTACTCTGTATTTATAGCTGCTCCCCAGCACTAACATCACTGCCTCAGGTCCACCTCAGATCACCAGGCACTAGAGTCTCATAAAGAGCACACAACAAAGGTCCCTTGCATGCATAATTTACATCCAGGTTCATACTTCTAAGAGAATCTAACATTGCCACTGACTTGGCAGGAGGCAGAGCTCAGGTAGTGATGCCAGTGATAGAAAGTGATTGTAAATACAGATGAAGCTTTGCTTGCCTTCTGCTGTGTCACCTGGTTCCTAACAGGCCACAGCATCACTCTGTGGCCAGGGTTTGGGGATCCCTGCTTTAAAGAGACCACTTTCTAACTTCGAGAACTAGAAGAGAAGCCAGAAACCCACTAGGCAAGAGCCCCAGGGAGCTACTTCCTGGGCACCAAATTTCCCAAAAGGCTTGATCCAGGCCTGGTTCTTCCCCAGACAAGAGGGAGGCCGCCCATGAATGAGACATAGGGGCCACAGAGCTGGGCTGTGGGCCTGGGAGAGTCTCAAGGCAGTGAGGGCTGCAGTCCAGTCCAAGAGAGGGTGGGAGAATCCTGGCGTGGAAGGTAGGTCCTGCAGTGCCCTCTGTTATTCCCTCCACCCCCACCCTGCCCTCGGGCTCCAGGCCAAGCACTGCCTTCCCAAAGCACCCACACACATACACACACCTTGTAGACGGCGAAGGCCTCGAGCTCCACAGCGCAGAGGCAATTGGAGCTGGGTGGCTGGAAGTGCAGACGCATGGCCATGGACTTGAGTGGGGGCACATCGAAGGTGTCTGGGGTCACCCAGAAGGGGCAGCCAGACCTTCGTGTCCAGACCACTGTAATCTTGCCTTTGGTGTGGTTTCTCAGGCACAGTGGGGCAGGGCTGGGGGCCTTGGGCCCAGGGCAGCCACCGAAGTCCACTTCAGCAGGTTCTACACTGACGGGTGGGGGGAAGATGGCCATATCCCTGGTGCCATCGAAGAAGTACTCCATCATGGGGGGAATATCAGGGTGCTGTGGGGCTTTAGCTTCCTCCATATCCTGCATAGAGATTAACAAGGGTGGGCCCAGCTGCCGTTCTTCCTGCCCCTGCCCTCCTGCCCCTCCTCTCTCAACAAGGCTGCAGAAACTCCACACAGGTCACCCCAACAACAGTGGTATCCACGGAGCTATGAGGACATAGGACTGCCCAAGAATTGCAGGAGGCTGGGAAGGGCCTGCACACTGGGGCCCAGAGGGAGCCAGATACCTCGGGGGGCAGCATGAGGGTCCCATCTCTGTCCTGCTGCAGTGTCCTCTCCTTCAACATGGCAGCCAGGATGTCAGGAGGGTAGAGCGTCAGGCCCCGTGCCAGGTGTGTTCGATACCAGCTGAGGTGCTGCGGGGTCAGGACGGTTGGCTTGGTGCTGTCCGAGTGGCAGGTCCCAATCAGGTCCAGGTACAGGGGGTCCTGCAACATTTGTTGATGTGTAGCGGGTGCTGGGGATTGAACTAAGGACACATGGGAGATGAGATGACACTGACAACAGGACGGCTGGAGGGAGCCTCTCACAGCAGCCTGGCTGGCTAATGGAGCTCACAGCGAGTCAGGAGAAGGATGGGACGCTCAGCCACTGCCTGCCCTTCTTCCCTCTAGGCATGGCACCTGGGCATTCTACTGCCCATCTTATAGCATGGGCAGCCAGGAACCCATGGGCGCAGCATTCAGGCCCTCCCTCAGGCAGCAGAGACTGGGTCAGTTCTATATCCTGCTCTAAGGCTTCCCTGAGCCTATACTGCACTTGTGTGAGGACTGGAAAAGGGTGACACAGCCCAGAGCCCAGGCACCAGCTCTGTAGGTGCTAGGTCTCAGCCCCTCGCTGCTATCTTAGCTAGGTCACAGAGGTCAGTACACTATGTGTATGACCTTATCCTGGGCCCTGGGTTCAGGTTCTAGCCCCAGAGCTCCCTGTCTTGCACATTTTGTGGGCTGATGTCCACATATCTGTCTCCCCCTCTCACTGGCATCAGCAGCAGCAAAGCCTCTGGCTTGGCAGCAGTCAGGGCAAGTTTGCCATACCCACCTGGCTGAGAGTGAACCTTGTGTGCACCTGGCCACACTCTGCTTCCAAAAGCCCAAGGAGAGGTGGCCCAGGGTGGCAGCCACATAAGTTCCAAAACACAGGGAGTGCCCAGCACACCTTGTCTTCCTTGCGTAGTTGCCCATCAGTTAGAGGAGCCACTACCCCTCAGCATTGCCCCCAACTCTGCCTCTTCCCCTCGGTTCACCTGGTGATGAATGAGACAGGCCACCCGCCGGAAGCAGATGATGGGGTGAGTGGGCTGGAAGGTGCAGTGCAGGGTCATACGGGCCTTGCCCACCAGAGTTCCAAAGTGGGGCCTGATGCTGAAGACACTCTCCTTGCAGTCGATGGCAAACTGGAAGTAGGCCACACAGTCCGACTGGTTCTCAATCCACAGGGTCTGCTCCGAGCTCTCTGTGAAGTTGACCCAGCTAAAGTTGATGCAGTAGTGCTGCAGGGACACAGCAGGACCTGGGCATAAGAGACAGGTCCTTGTGAGTGTGCCCTGCCATCTAGGTGTCTCAGAAATATGTCTGGAGGACCACTTCTTGGAGGGACCCTGGAGACAGATGGTCAGGCTGATAAGCTCAGGGCCCCTGTGGTGTGAGTGCAGTTACACAATTTCTAGTGGTGATGGAAAGCTGGCATCACCAACTGTCCAAAATGCTTCCCTACTAGGCCACCAGGGGGCACCAGACACCTAGGCTGAGGGGCCAGGAGGAAGGCCTCTTAGGAGCAGGCACTGAGCTCTTGGGAATCCACTGTGGGCTGCTCCTGCCCTGGGAAGTGTGGCGTCCGCAGGCTGCCAGTACCTGTACTGAAACCAACAACCTGGAGCAGGGTCTGGGAGGCACTGCCAGCAGGTGTGATGAAGAAGTAGTCTATAGCTCTGCTGCCCACGGTCTTGGGATGAAAGAACACTGACACGTTTTTCTTCTCTCCTGGGGGCACAATTCCATGGCTCAGGGAACATGAGAAGGCCTGGTCTTTGGTCAGCATGTCTGTGGCCATTTCAATCTTGAAGGAGGCATTCACCTGCAGGGCCAGGTTAGGAGCAAAGGGCAAGGTCACAGGGTCAGACAGTCTGTGCATGGTACCAACTGACCCAGCAGAGGGGTGAGGCAGCTGGCATCCAGCCTATGCCCGCTGGCCAGAGTGACGGAGCTGCCTCCACCAGAAGGAAGAAGCCTGCCTTGGGCTGCCCAGTGGGAGGCACTTGTTCCTTCTTCCAAAGATACTTTGGGGTACAGCTATGGTCCTACAGTCAGGACCCTCTGGGGCTGTTCTAGGAGTCCCCTGGTGGGTGGGAGTGGGCAGAGGATCCAGAGCCCAGCCCCAGCTAGGAGGAGAAATGCAGGTTGTTGATGGCTGTTGACAATGTGCACATGAGCACACAGGGGTTACCCAAGGCTTGAGATCAAAGGCGTGGAGAAAGGGGGGCATTCTGGAAAGGGGATGGATTTGAAGGGCAGCCAGTCCTGAGGCCCCTGAGCCCTGCTTCCTCCCTCCCAGAACCTGTGCATACCGCACATGGGTTATACAGCTTGATCTGCCTCTCGGCGGTACAGCCCACAGCAACAGAACCGAAGTGCAACAGCTTCTGAGAGTCCTCGGCATCCTGGTCCCCTGCTTGCTTGTGCCTTATGCTCACCAGCAGCTGGGCACATTTAGCTGGGGCAGAGATGGGGAATTCTTGGAGGGAACCCGCTCGGGCCTCTGTGGCCCAGCTGAGCAGCCCCTAGAAGGCATGTGTCCTGGGGAAGAACTAGTGTAAGACGTGACGGCAGGCAAAATAAACAAAATAAAAGCAAGACCTGGGTGCTGAGACAAGAGTAGGAGGCTGTGAGGAGGCCCTGCAGGGCCACACCAGGGCACACAGGGACACACATAGGCCATGAGACTCAGGAGAGGACGGGGGGGTGTTGGGCCTCACCTACAGCCTGCAGCCGAATGCTGCTCTTCTGCCTGCTGCCCTCCCCATACCAGCACATGGCCTGGACTTCATAGATGACAGCAATGAGGGGCTGAAAGGTCACCCTGACCCTACAGGCCAGACCTGGCTCCAGCAGCCCCGTAGTGGGGCATATTTGGAATGGGCTTGGGAACTCCCAGGTGAAGAAGGTAGGCAGGTCCCTGGAGGAGGCAGGGATGGGTCAGGCAGAGAGGCTCTGGGAAGCCATCTCCACTCCCCATGGAAGATGTGCACCCCCCCATACACCCAGAACCCTCTCCCCAGAGCACACTCCTGCCACCGCTGGGTCTCAGCAGCCCACTCACCCCACATTGTCCAGGCAGAACCAGGCTTCAACTGTGTCCCCAATAGCACACATGGGCAGCTGTAGGTATGGTGGGCAGACCAGCTTGTGGTAGGGCAGGGTGGCCCTCAGATCCACACTGAACATCCCCTCTTCTTTCTCAAACCACAGCTGGTCCATGTACTCCTTCTTTGAAGCAGAAGAGGGAGCGGTAGTCAGTGGTCAATGGTACCCAGATGGTATCCTACTGCCCTCTGTCATCCCCCCACCACATCTGCTGATCAGTGGCCTGTGCCAAGGCTCACCATCACTTCCTGTACTCCTACACTGAGTTAGTCTAGGTCATCAAGGCCTCTTTGGTGGGGAACAAAGGATGTGGAGGATCTGGGCATGGTAGAATATACCTGTGTAAACCCAACTCCTTGGGAGGCTGAGGGAGGAAGAGTGCTTGAATCCAGGGGTTTGAGGTCATCCTGGGCAACACGGGGAGACTCACTCCCCATCCCACCCCCATCTCCATATAATTTTCTTGCAAAGAATTTTGAGGAGATTTATGGGAAACCTAGGGTTCTTTAATGGCAACACAGTAATATAGACTTTAGCCCCTGTCTCTCGGGGTGCACCTTTCTGCCTAAGGAGACTGGGGTCTGAGCCTCTGGGAGGACTTCCGGAGCTGGGGATCTAGACGTAGCTGGCAGGATGTGTGCATGGAGGGGAGGAGGGGAGCCCCCTTGCTACCTGGTCCTGCTTCCTGCTCTGTGGTCTCTGCCCCTGTGCCCTGGTGGACTTTACCTCCTCCAGAGGCCGGAAGACAACAGGGAGCGTGAGGGTTAGGCCTGGGCTCAGGAAGATGGGCTGAGGGATGACCGTGAAGAAGAACTTGGTCTTGGGAGGCCTGCAGGAAGGAACCAGAGCATGAGCTCAGAGCAATGAGGAAGCAGGAAGCCTGGAGAAGCCCCCAAGCCGAGGGGCCTGGAGTCCTTAGGGCAACAGAAGAAAAGATGACAAGTGTGTGGAAGGGGGCACACGGGGCTAATCACTGGAGGAACCACCTCTCCACCTCTTTGTGTTCTCACAGACCACTCAGAAGAGAAAGGAGCAGCGCTTGTGCCTCTGATGGGGACACTGGATGGCCTGTGAGGACACAGCTGGGGACAAGTTAGCCTGTTTAACAAGGGCCCTGAGCAGTGAGTCAGGAAACCAGTGCCAGGAAGGGGGGTGCCAGGGATGCAGTGAAGGACAGAACCATAGATGCTGCAGACTCTTCAAATATTAGCAAGACAGTACCGTCAGCAACTCTTTACCAACCAATGTTTAAGTTTAGATGAAATAAACATATTGCTAGGAAAACCTCTCATCAAACTGACTCAAATTATAAAATGGGGGCCGGGGAGATCGCTCAATAGAATAAGTGCTTGCCTGGCAAGCACAAGGGCCAGAGCTCAATCCCCGGTTCTGAAAAAGAAAGAAAGAAAGAAAGAAAGAAAGAAAGAAAGAAAGAAAGAAAGAAAGAAAGAAAGAAAGAAAGAAAGAAAGAAAGAAAGAAA